AGATAATACAGCATCATGGTTAAGTGCACACACTTTAGAGCCTGCCTGCCTTAATTTGGATCCTGGCCATCACTTCCTATCTGTGTAATCCTTGGTAAGGTGCTTAACCTCTTTGTGCCTCAATTTCCTCCACTGATTTGTTATGAGGATTAAATAAGTTACTACATGTAAATTTAAAAGAATACAGATTTCTTTCTGTGTCCCATGGCAGAACTGGTTATGACTGCAAACATGCAAACCAGGATTGGGGTAGAAGCCAAGGAACAGTACCTTGAGTAGCTAAGAAAAGGATAAAGTCTTCGTATGGTGGGCTATACCTCCAGGGTAGTATTTCTTAAGGTGTGGCCCAAGGGCATCAGACTCACATTGGGTGTTTATTTAAAATGAAGGGCCCAACCTTCTCAGATTGATTCAGGAAGTCTGAAGGGAGGTAAAAATATATATTTTAACTAAGTACTTTGTGGATGATCCTTCTGTATGCTATAGCTTGAGAATCACTACTCTGGGGAAAGGGAGTTCAGGGAATTAGCCTAAAGATTAATTTCTTTGAACCCTACTGTTTTATCTTAACTATGGCAAATTTTTCCAATATTCAATTTATCCATTTTTGTCTTAATATACAAATAAGCTACATTAAGTAACAAAGAAAGTGTATTATTGGCAATTGAGTACTAAGTTTATCCTGGACTTGGGGTACTTCCTGGTATACCTGTGCCAGTTGACATGCAAGGGCTTTATGACAAGTGTCAACCCATTTTATTTCTAGTGTCTGGTTTGACAAGTACCATCAATGTAGTAAATATGGACATCTGGTAATCACACTCCAGCTCCACTTTTTTTAATGAGCATTTCTGTACTGGAGAAGCTGGAAAGTTTAAAAATTAATTTACCAGACCCCTCTTGCAGATAAAATTCTATATATAAAATAGTATGGACATCTGGTAATCACACTCCAGCTCCACTTTTTTTAATGAGCATTTCTGTACTGGAGAGGCTGGAAAGTTTAAAAATTAATTTACCAGACCCCTCTTGCAGATAAAATTCTATATATAAAATAGCTTCCACCAATTAGATACACTCAATGAGATTTGGGAGGCAGAAGATAGAGGCCATCTATCTACTGCGATGGCCCATTCTGCTAAAAAGTTAAGTTGTGGACATGTCAGGTTTTCCTGCAACACTTTTCTGCACCTCATCACCAGCTCTGGGTATATTGAGACAGTTATGGCAATGGTGCCATGGTGGCCTCCTGATTCTTCACATTTAAATTATGGCAGAGGTAGCAGCTACTATGGTTGCTAACTCTGCAGTGCTGTGGAAGTCATTCCAGAGCCAAATCTATATCCACTTCTCCAGCTTTACACCAACTTTGTAAAAATACTTTTTAAAAGTTTTAAATATATTCAAAAGTAGATGTTATAGTACAAAGAATGCCTATCGTCAACATTTCCCGTCTTATGGCCAATCTTGTTTCGTAAGTACCCCCAACCATTTCCTCCATCTTATTTGGAAGTAAATCCCAGACACTGTATCATTTTATGTATATTTCAGCATGTATCTTTCTAAAAAGTAAACTCTTTAAAAAATATAACCATGTCATTCCTACAGTAGCAATAGTTCTTTATAGGGTCAATGTTCACATTGCCAATTGTCTTGTCAGTTTTTGTCGAACTAATACCAAAAAAAGGTCCACAGATTGCAATTGGTTGATATGCCTCTTAATTCTTAATGTATAAATTCTCCCTCCATCAGTGTGGTTTTAAATTCTTTGAAGTTATTTGGAGAAACTGTGTTGTTAGAGGTTCCCGCAGTCTGTATTTTGGTGACTGTATCCAAGTGATGGTGTTTGACATATTCCTCTGTAATTCCTATAGGTTGGTTGTTGGATCTACAGGCTTGATCAGATTTAATCCCGCAAAGATGAAGGTGCATTCTCCCTGACATTTGCATTTACCTCTGCCAGGAAGCTAACAGTGGCATCATTAGGCTGAAACCTCTTTAAACTCAATTCATTTCTTGAAGGTTTCTTTTACTACCCTGGGTGATGTGACTTTGGGCTTTGTTAATCTGTGAAGGACAGTAGTGATCACAACTTCTTGAGTTTTTTTTTTTTTTTTGGATGGGGAGGGAGGGTTTCTTGATCTGCTCAGTGCCAAGGCAACATTCCTTGCAGTCCTTCCGCGAGAGGGAAAGAAGGCCTAATTTATCCTCACTGAGGATGAAGCCCTTTAGGGTGCTAGCTTTATGGGGTGCCTCCTTTTGGCCCCCAAGTCTGCTGGCCTTTGTCTTCTGTCCCCGCACCCCAAAACTTTGAAAATTGAAACTCAAGGTGAGTCAGGATCAGAGGCACCTTTTGCAAAAGCACCTCTACATGTTTTCACTTAGATTTTCGGCCTAAGCCCCTACTACTTTATGAACTATGCAATATTTTTAGGGTGTTTTCACTATTTTCATCCAGAATTTTTTAGTTTTCCAACTCACCAGGTGGGAAGGTCAGTCTGAGTAGCTAAGAAACTCACACACAACATACATATATCCTATATTAAATAGGGCAGGCTAATGTACCAATGCCAGAAACATGCTTTAACTAATATACTTCCTTCCATGAGCACTCATTGAGCTAGTCCATGCCACTTAGTATCTTTCCTAATTAAGGCTAGAACAGAATCGTACACAGCAATCCTCCCCCAAAACACTTCCCTTATGCCATGGTTATGACTTGTCCCAAGCCCAGTGTTGAATGCTATTAATATTTTTTGTTTTCCTTAGAGAGCCCCTGAAATTTCCCAAAATTTCACAAGCAAGAACATTCTAGAACATCATTTTAAATAGAACTTCATTTGTTATACCATTTATATAGCAACCCACAATCTATATACCTAAAGACAAGACTAAAAGCAAATAAAAGGGTATTTATGCATTCTTTCATAGCTTCCTATTTAAAAAAATATTTACATCTGATGCCTTTAAATCCAGAGGAAAGAAAGCATATTCAGTATTGACTATTTTGTGATATCTTGAAAATAAGTAATAACTCCATCACATTTCTTCATCCCACTTTCACACACTGTGGCTGCTCCTGTATCTGCCCAGAGATAGAACTGCTGAAAGATCATGTCCTCTGTCATTTCTCTACTCCAAAATATAGTCATTCCTTACTTCTGTTAAGAAATGTTTCTATTTTGAAACTTCACTAATGTTAAAATGCAAATAATTCATTAGCTATTAAAATTAAATAACCTCTAACAAAATAAATTTACCTAAATTGAGATTACTATGAGTGCTCCAGAACAATAATGCTTAAGAGAAAATGAAAGTCAATATACAAATAAATTAACTAAGCAGTATCACTAGAACTAACGTACACACCTAATCTAGTTGCCATAACTGAGTTATCAGATCAAAAGGGATCACATTAGCAGTTAAGTCATTAAGTGAAAGTCCATTCCATTAGCCATGTTGGTTACTAATATCATTTGAATAAAGTTAAAACAATACAACCATGATTTTTTTTTTATTTCTAGCACATAGAAGCCATCAACAAAGATCTGTTGAAGAAATGTATTAAGAACTAATTTTCACATTATTTGCATATGGTAATTTAAAATGATGTGTCAGAGACTGCTATTCATTCCCCTAACATAAATTCTCTTTCCTCCAAGAGATTACACACATTTTAGCTGAACATATGGCAATCTGAAATAGACAATTTCCCTGCCTCCCTGGAAGCAAGACATGATCACATGACTAAGTTCTGGCCAAAAGGATGTAAGCTGAAGTGTCCTGTGGCAGCTTCCAAAAATCACCTTTAAGACTGTTGGCACCTGCTGTTTGCTCCCTTCTTCTTTGTCCTTCCTCCAATAGAATGTTGATGTGATGGTTAGAGCTCTAGCCACCCACCCTGGCTGAGAAAAATGAGGGCCATACCCTGGGTTGGCAGAGGTGGTAAGCTAAAAAATTCCTAGATCCCAAAAAACTTCATGGAAAAGAGCATTCCATTCCCATCAGTCCTGGACCTGGAATTTTATGACAAGAGAAATAAACTTTTATCTTTTCCATTGGCATTTTGTGTTTTTCCAAAATACCAACTTCCTTTGGATAAAGGAAGAAGGCAGATTTGTAAGTGGCAGATTTTCATACACATATATTGTGGAGCCATACCTCTCTCAGGAGAGGATAACAGGATATTATCTCTTTTTAAAGATCTACTCTTACTCTTATTTCAGATGCAGCGCAGATTTGTAAGTGGCAGATTTTCATACACATATATTGTGGAGCCATACCTCTCTCAGGAGGGGATAACAGGATATTATCTCTTTTTAAAGATCTACTCTTACTCTTATTTCAGATGCAGTTGCTCTATACCAGGAGTCAGAGAACCAAGGTTCCAGTTGTATACCTTTGTCACTATCTGGCAAACCAATTAACTTTTCTAAGAGTGTGTGTCTTTACTCATTAGATTGGAATAGCGATACTTATCTAATAAGACGCTCCTGAGATTTAAAATACAATGTACGTAAAAGTGTTCCATAGTATAAATCACTATACACATAATAGTTGAAGAGAATAATTATACGACACCTAGAGACAAAAGCTCTGTCTCAGTTAACACTGTATCCCCAGTAAGAGTACTCAATAAATATTTTTTGAACAAATATTTTTAAGTCCTTGCTAAATAAGTAAATTATTCTGCTTTGGAGTTGAATAAAGTTCAAAGGTCTTTAATGTAGTCCCCAAGAGACACAGTTCTTAATTTTGATGTCACTCAAGAGATATAGCATGTGTAAAAAGAAATCACAGCTAATCAATTTATTTATAGTTCAAAAGCAGACCCCTATTTGCTATAGCAAAATAATTTAAACTAGAAGAAAAGTTGTGGTACAGAAATGAAATTTTTATGACCTTCTTCCCCTAAAATTACAAAGTTACACATGAAAATTTTTTAAAATATTTAAACCCCTAGCCTTACCTCACCAAATGAAGGATTTCCTCACAGGGACTGTGGCTAAAGTGTTTTTATTAAATTAAGTAGGTAATTTGCAAATGGTTTCGTAAGAAATTTAAAAGCAAAGTTATAAAATATTTTCAATAAAGAAAAGTACAGAGTTAACATCAAAATTACATTTTCTTTATAGTACAAATGAAAACATTTTGTTTCTGATACACTGTCTGAAAATTTTATAACATATTCTCTAAATGATAGCTGCAATGCTGTATTTTAATGAGAAGTCCACCAGTTAATTCAATCACTTATTAATAACAAGTTCATCATTTGGACCATAAAAGTCAATTGCTCAACTTTAAGGAAAATAATAAACTTTGTCATCATATAATGTGAAGTTATAAAAGGCTCTTCGGGATGTAGATGTGTTCTATCCTTATTTCTCTATTAAATTCTGTAAAGAGGCATTAAGTAATACTGTAAACTTGAATTACATTTTAAAAATAAGCACCGTTAACATACATTCTACATAAACTTACTTTACCTTTTAAATGACACTTTTTTGGGCCACACATTTAAATCTGTTTTCTTTACATGTAAAAAAAAATAAGCAATATTTAACCACTACACAGAAAAATTACCAAACTTCACCTCATTGCACAATGAGAAAGCACTTAGTAAAAGCACTTGGAAAAAACAGCACACATTATTTCTCTTTTTTATACATTTTGTCATTTTCTTAAATTGAGAGCAGTTAAAACATTGTCAGAGCAATTTCCTGAGTTTCAAAAGTTTCCAATTTCCACCTCAGAAATAACCAATCTTGCTATTATGTGTGTCCATTTTCTAAGCATATAAAACACTTGAAATTAAAAAGAAAAAGACCAAAACAAAGGACTGGAAACCATCCAAAAGAATTGTATAGCTTTTCCCCGATGTGTTATAATACACGAGACACTTTAAAGTCACAATTTCTGCTATATATAATATGTTCTGTATTTAAAGGCCATAGAATTGCAAACAGTATGCAGATACTAATAAACTGAAGAAACTTCAACTTGAAAATAATGTAGAGATATAAGAATTGCCAATAAATGTAAGAAAACATGCTTCCATTTCTCACGTTGGAATAAGGAGATGGATAGACTGAAAACACTGTTAAGATTTTCCCTGGTCCAAATGCACACCTCCTGTGGTGTTCACATTAGTTCTTTTTTCCTCTGGTAGATACTGGTAAACACTGAATGGATATAATCATCACTAAAACTTTCCAAACTACACAAGTGCTATACTTCTAAAATAATTTAAAATATTAAGTTTACAAAGAGCCATTCTAATGAGTCATGTATTGGCACCAATATGTGAAAACTTCAGTCTCCAAACTACCTTTGACATACAGGATTTAGAAGTGGGCAAAAGAAGAAAGGAGGGATTATAAACTTTTCTTTCATAATTATGTGCTGCTTAAACTGTGCTAGATAGTAGGGTAGGAGGCAGTTTAGGATTAAACATCTTGATAAAAATACACATGATGCTCAAATTTGTATACTTATGAATAATGATTAAGAAATAGCACTAAATTTACCAAAATAAGGCATAAAATTGAAGTTGATACAGCATAAAACACAGCTTCTTTCATTTATGTTTCTGTCCATAGAATACCACACCTGTACTACTTTTGACTGCTCCCTCATTAATCATAATTGCAATAATATTGAAATAAGTCTAGCTGAAGTACTCAAAAGTGATGTTTTTATAAACTGGGCAAGGAAATACAAAAACACAGAAAATGAATATGCAGCTGCATACACTCCAATGACTCCAGGTTTTAGAATTATTTTTCATATCTCTTAAATCATACAAATTATACATAAGAATATTTTATTTCGTTAACTAACAATTATAGTTTTATACTAAGTTATTGAAAGAAATTGCTTTATTTTTAATGTATATAACTCTTCTAGACATTACAAAAAGTATGTTAAATTGTTGGGATTTTTAAACAAATGATTGCAAACATAAAAACGTGAATAACACTTCAGTACTAGCCACTAACCATTTCTAAATAATAAACACATATTCTTACTTTCGTGAAAATAAAATTCAATGATAGGTTCTTCTTTTAAAAGCATGCATTCATGACATATAAAAACATGTGTTTTTGAATTTTATTTTCATTAAAATGTTTGCTCTTTTGGGAAACCATTCTATAATTCAAGATTCTTTCATTAACACAGCTCAATCCTATAATTCCTGATCCAAATGATTTTTTAAGCTTAACAAAGAGCAACACAATTGTTTGCTAAAATTCTATATGCTGAAAATATTCTCCATATCTCAAGTTACATTTATTTAAGCCATTGTCTCATACTGAAAAATTACACTTTACCACATTAAACCTGTGTAAAGGAAATTATAATTTACATACTAACAGGAGGTAATACCTAACAAACGACAGAAATCAATGAAAGTTTTCTTTCAGAAAGTTGGCTCTTTATCAAAATAAAGGTAAAAATCTTTTAATTTGCAAGATTCCTTTTATGATTATATCAAAAATGTTTTCTACATCTGTTTTAAGTTAATAAGATTTTGGCCTTCTGTAGTATAGAAATTGTATGTCTCAAATAAAAAATATAGCCATTCAGTACTATGCACACAGTTCTAGGAGCAATTCTATAAGGCAGCAACACTTGGTACATATCTAACCATTTCTCCTTCTCTGAAAACTTTTCTGCTTATGGAAGGTATAAAACTGCAATATAATCTCAGACCCAACTTTCTTCCCAGAAAATATATATAATAGAAGACTTGAACAAAAGGTAAGAGATCAAGATCATATACGAGCACAAAGCAAAAGAAAGAACAACAGCATGTCTTCCTTCCTGTAGGATATGGCAAAATAAAATGATTTTGTGCATTTAGTTTTGAAAGCAAAAGTATTCAAGAGTTCTTGTCAGATCTCCTTTCTTTCTTTACTACTATTACTTCTTTCTTCTTTTAATACAAGCCTTTAAAGGGCATGAACCAGGTTTCAAAGCACTTTAAATACCTCTGATAGAATTCTTTAGTACTTTACTAAATGTCAAACAACAATTAATACAAAGGTAACATATTCTATCCGAAAAAAAAAGACCACTTCAAACTTTAAAACTGCAGCTGATAATTTTCTTAGACATTGTATAATCAATAAAAATTCACATTAATATTTTTAACAGGTAACATATTCGGCATTTGATTCAGTAAAAAATTAAACTCGTTAATTTTGAAAAACATCATAATTTTTTTGTTTTATACTGACATTATTTCTAATAAAACACAAGTTTAGAGTAGAATTGACTGAATTGCTGCAAATAAAACTAATTTTAACCTACAAACCTTCATACTTCTAAGTCAAGGACATCTATTTTACTTTAGCATGACTTTCAAGCACCCTGGTTTAATTTCAGAGAACCTGCAGAAATGAGAAAAGAATTATTTTAAAGGTAAAAATTTCAAGATTGCCTATGCTTAATATAATATTTACCATCCAGTATCTATGTTTATATTCCTTTTCATCTACTGTCAAAACAAATATAATCCTAAGGCTGGGGTTACTAATTTGGTAAATGCAATTTATGATTTTTCAAAACCTCTTAAACCTGAATTTAACCATCATGAAGAAGAATACACTGTATGAAGGATAAGACACTGGGTGTCTGCATTACACTGCTTCTGTGCATCATGAAAGCACCAAGAAGAAATCTCTGATAACAGATTTATCTATCCATGTAACGCTTTCAACATGCTCAGTGTAAAATTTCAACACTAGTCTCTAAAATAGATCATTAATTTCAACATGCTACTGGTCTAACTACTCTCCTTTTGTAAAAATAACTCTGAAATGTCACCTGTTTTCATGCTCAGAATTAATGCTACCATTTTCTATAATGTAGCTAAACTAGTATTTCATTACATGGTATAAACAAAATATGCTATACTAATTGAAATTGGAAGGGGGTGGGGATTCTTCATAATACACATCCTCAGGGAATCTATCCATCAACAGATCCTTAATCTCAGACTTCTTGTTATTTTCTGTTAGTGAATAGTGATCACTTAATGAAAAAGATATATCACATTTGTCAGCCAAGATCACTAATTGTATTTAACTTACGAAGACATAAATTTATATTAACTTCAGTATTTCTGCTAAGGCTTAAACACATCTAAATTATAACTATATTTCTGCAGATATCCCCCAATTCCATCCAAAATACACAAATATATATTTCCCTTCAAAATAATAACTAAACAGCAAATTTTAAACTATTATATGTGTAATCTAATTATCTTGGATAATACATTACCAAAAAAACCCACAAATACTTGCTTTGTTTTAGAGTCTTAGATTTATGATAGAAAGTTTTATCAGATGATTATTGACAAAAACACTTTTCTTTTACTTCTGGTTTATCAGACAACATAAATCCAGTAGGGAAAGCTCTATCATAATTTAAGCATGAACTTGTGGCTGAAATCAGGTGATTAAGTTTAGTTAACTATTTTAACAAATACTTCTAAGTATATTATAAGTGTTTACCTAGCTATAAATGGGCAACTGCCATTATTGACAACAGAAGTCTATACTCACCTGAAGCTATGGCTTGTGAGGTATTTAATAACAGCTGGTTTGATGCGAGCAACTCCTCCCTGGCTGTGGTTTCCTCTCCCCGTAATCACAGAAAGATAGGGCTTACCGCCACTCTGCTTAAATTCTATTACAACAGGAATTCAAACAGTTAAAATTCATTTTTCTCACACTCTCAATAGAAAACAAACATTTAACTACTCAAACACATATAAAGTTGTTTTCATGGGGATTTAGAGATTTATTACCTCAAAAAGCTCCCAAATTAATGTCTTAAAATACATTTTTTAAAACATACATAGCATCATAGCAATTTATCCACCTAAAAACACTTCTTCCCCTGTGGGGAGGAAGATTTCCGTGCACTACCAGATGTTCTCTCTGAAAAAATGGTATTGATGGTGATAATATTAATGATACCTAAGAATTACTTTACACATCGAGTCAGGAACCACTTTAAATAACATGTTTATTAACTAAGGATCGTCACAACAACCTCATTATTTAAATACTCAGAAGCCAGCCAGCTTTGGTCTGAATCAGAGCTCTGCCACTCAATGACTACGTGACCATAGACAAGTTACTTAGCCTCTCCTTGCCTGTTTCCTCATGAGAAAAACAGGATAATAACAGCAACTACCTTATAGACTATCCCCCAGGAATAGCTATTGGAGAATCAACTAATTCTAGCATGGACTGCAGTCCTACTGTAAAAAGATAATCCTTAACTTCAAAAATTCTTCCTGATAGATAATTCTTAAAATATCAAATGAGCCTGAACCTCTTGAAAGACTGCAGTTCTTACTTTGGGTTGTACCTTGTGAAAATCAAGTATATAAATCCTGAAAACTAATAACAGCCTCAATAAAATTTAAAAAAAAACTATTAATAATAAGAGTTAAATTAATGAATTTAAGGGGCCGGCCCGTGGCTCACTCGAGTGAGTGTGGTTCTGATAACGCCAAGGCCACGGGTTCGGATCCCATAAAGGGATGGCCAGTTAGCTCACTGGGTGAGCGTGGTGCTGACAACACCAAGTCAAGGGTTAAGATCCCCTTACTGGTCATCTTTTGGGGAAAAAAAAAATTTTAATGAATTTAAGAAATACAAGGAGTCTTCAAAATGTACATGGAAAGATTTGTATTATCTTTTGATTCCATTTTCAATAAACTTTTATTTTTTATTTTTATTTTTGTCTTTCTCGTGACCTGTAAGGGGATCGCAACCCTTGGTGTGGTGTCGCCCACACCACGCTGGCTGAGCGCACCCGCCATTCCTACATAGGATCTGAACCCGCTGCGGGAGCCTCACTGCGCTCCCAGCGCTACACTCTCCCAAGCGCGCCACGGGGCTGGCCCATCAACAAACTTTTAAAAGTACCCTTGTATTCATTCCTCATTCATAAATATCCAAAGTTTTGATCTTTAGCATAAAATACATACGTGCATTATATAAGTACTGCATATTTTGCTCATTACGTTTCCCTAATACTCCAACAGAACAACAAACAAATGGTTTTTCAAGTTTCATATCTCCAGGGCAATATTTAGCCTGGAATTTTAAAAGGATATGTTGCTCTTGCATTTTTAATTCCTTATTTTTGTTTAAGATCTCCATTTCAAATCTACAGATGCTCCTCAATTTACAATATGGTTACACGTTACATCCCAATAAACCCAACTTAAGTTGAAAATACCCTAAGTGTGTTTTCGACTTACAATATTTTCAACTTACACAGGTTTATCTGGATATGACCCCATTATAAATCAAGAAGCATAATGAATACACATGGCTTTTACACCATCATAAAGAAAAAATTGTTAAGTCGAACCATCATAAGTGAGGGACCATCTGCAACCCATATCCATCACTTTAAGCAAAATGTCCAAAATTCAGCTCTCACTGAGTGCTAGTTACACTAGGGTATTCACTTTGTAAAAAGTTTTTGCACTATACACTTATAATTTGTGCACTGTTCTCTGTGTATGTCATGTCACAAATAAAAGTTTACTTAAAAGAAAAATGACAATCTCTCAACTAAGCATAATTCACTCTCATCACTCCTTCAGTACTGCTGTGCTCTTCTTATCAATTAGGTCAGTGGTTTAGGCCACATCACCTCTCAATAGTTCAACCATTGCTCTGAAAGTGTTTCCCAAGTGACTCACATGCCTCAAATAAAGTAGGAGTTGAAAGGATCTTTCTTGCATGAATTAACATACGTTTAGTGTCTCAAATTAGTCTGTTCCTACTGTTTATCACCTTTGGAAGAACTGTTTAACCCAATTTCTAAGCACATTCCAGATTTCTTATTATTTTAACTGCAAATATTCCAGTATGTATCTCAACAAGATAAAGACTCCTTTATTTTATTTTATTTTTCTTTAATTTTTATTTTGTCAATATACAATGTAGTTGGTTATTATGGCCCATCACCGAAACCCCCCTCCCTCCTCCCTCTCCCCATTCCCACCCAAGAATGTCCTTTCCGTTTGCTTGTTGTAACAACTTCAAAAGACTGTAGTTGTTATATCTTCTTCTGATAAAGACTCCTTTAAAAAACATAACCACAATATCACCATCACATATTACAAAATTAACAATACTTCCTTAATATCATCAATTTCTAAAAATTTCCCCCAATTACCTCAAAAAAAATGTTTTTACAGTGATTTGCTTGACTCAGGATTGAAACAAAGCCACACATTGCATTTGGCTGATATGTTTTTTAAGTAATTTTTAATCCAAAATTTTAACCTAATTTTTCCATCCCCTTGTGTTTTTCTTCACAATTTATACAGAAAAAATTTGGATCATTTATCCTAGATTTTTACAGTCTGGATTTTGCTGATTGTATCCCCATGGTGTTGTTTAACATGTTCCTCCGTCCCCTGTAAATCCCATAAAGTAATAGTAAGTTCCAACTATTTAATCTGCTTCTGTTTGATATGGGGACAAAAATACTTCATAGGTTGTGGTGTGTATGCCAATAAGAAGGTATATAAGATTGAGATGTCTCTATTTTTTTTACTCATCCCCAATTTTACAATCCTTTCACGTTATCATGACAAAAAATAATGGAGGGCAGAACCACCCATTTTCCACTCACATTTTTATTCAACAATACTACCATCTGGTGGTGACTGACAGTAACTACAAGCCACCACAAGTGGCAGCATGCACTAGATGGGTCTGGGCTTCCAGGAAGAGTAAACTCCATAAAGACAGGGACTGTGTGACTTTTTCACTGCTTTATTCTTTCCATCTTAGGTCTGACCAAGTGTCACCTTTGGCAAGTTATTTAACTCTTCTTTTTTCTTCCAATTTTTTTACTGAGTTAAAATTTACATAACATAAAACACACCATTTTGAGATATATAACTCAGTGGTTTTTAGTATATTCACAACACTGTAAAATCAACACCACTAATTCCAGAACATTCTATCATCTCACAAAGGCTTTCTGTGCCTGTTAGCAGTCACTCCCCCATGTATGGCCCCCCTTCCAGCCCTAGCAACCACTAATCTACTTTCTGCCTCTAATAGGATTTACCTATTCAGGACATTACATAAAAATGAAATAATACAACATATGGCCTTTTTTATCTGGCTCCTTTCACATAGCATAATGTTTACAAGGTTCATCTATAACTGTAGCATGTATCAGCATGCCTCTTTATGGATGAATAAAATTCCATTCTATGGATCTACCACATTTTGTTTATTCATTCATCAGTTGATGAACATTTGGGTCATTTCCACTCTTTGGCTTTTAAGAACATTCACGTACAAATTTTTGTGAAGACAAACTGTGGTTTCAACTCTTAGGTACATATCTAGGAGAACTGCTGGGTTATATGCTAACTGTATGTTTAACCTTTCAAGGTACTCCTGAACTTTTTCCACAGCAGCTTTTAACATGTCCACCAGCAATATCTGAAGGCTCCAATTTCTCCACATCCTTACCAACACTTATTATTTTCCATTTTATTAAACTTTTTAAGTAGTCAGTTTCCTCATCTACAAGATGAGAGAAAGCAATTTAGAGGTTTCTCAAAAAATTAAAAACAGGACTACCGTTGATCCAGCAATCCCATTTCTAGGTATATATCCAAGGAAACAAAATCAGTATCTCAGAAAGATATCTGCACACCCATGTTCAATGCAGCATTATTCAGAATAGCCAAGACATAGAAACAATCTAAGTGTCTATCAACAGATGAATGGATAAAGAAAAGTCATCCCTCTGTAACTGCAGGGGATTGGTTTCAGGACCTCCCACAGATACTCAAGTCCCTGATTTAAAATGATGTAGTATCTGTATATAGCCTATGCACATCCTCCTGTAAAGTTTACATCATTTCTAGATTACTTATAATACCTAATACAATGTAAGTGCTATGTAAATAGTTGTTACAGTGTACTTTTTAAATTTTGTACTACTTCTTGTTGTACTGTTATTTTTTATTTTTCCAAATATTTTCAAACTACAGTTGGTTGAATCGCAGATGTGGAACCCACAGATACATTGTACCTCCATATGCGTAGGTGCCACATCCATGAATTCAACCAACTGCAGATTGTACACTTTTTATTTTTAATTGTAGACACAAAGTGGGGGAAAAAATTGCATACATGCCAAACATTTACAGACTTTTTTTCCTCATCATTATTCTTTAAACAATACAATATAACAACTATTTACATAGCATTTATATTGTATTAGGTATTATAAGTAATCTAGAGGTGATTTGTGCATAAGTTATATACAAATACTACACGATTTTATATCAGTGACTTGAGCACCCAAGGACTTTGGCATCCATGAGTGGTCTGGAACCAATCCCCCACAGATACCAATGGACAACTGTATACACACACACACACAGCACACACAAATACTATTTAAGAATACAAAAGAAGGAAATCCTGCCTTTTGTGGCAACATGGATGAAACTGGAGGGCATTATGCTAAGTGAAATAAGCCACACAGAGAAAGACAAATACTGTGTGATCTTACTTATATATGGTATCTAAAAATGTCAAACTCATAGAAACAGAATAGAATGGTAGTTTCCATAGGCCAGGGGTGGGGAAAATGGGGAGATGTTGGTCAAAGGGTACAAACTCCCAGTTATAAAAAGTTCTGGGGATCTAACATACAGCATGATGACTATAGCTAATAATACTGTATTATATTCTTGAAATTTGCTAGAGAATACATTTTGTGTCCTCACCACAAACAAAAACTATACAAGTTGATGGATGTGCTAACTAACTTGGTTGTGGTAATCATTTCACCGTGTATATATATATCAAATCATCACACTGTATACCTTAAATATGTACAATTTTATGTGTCAGAAAAAATAAAAGGAATACTTACCCTTTATTCAGTCATTTATTCACAAGTTTTGTTTTTTTTTTTTTAAAAGATGACCAGCAAGGGGATCTTAACCCTTGACTTGGTGTTGTCAGCACCACACTCTCCCAGTGAGCTAACCAGCCATCCCTATATGGGATCCGAACCCGTGGCCTTGGTGTTATCAGCATCACACTCTCCCGAGTGAGCCGCAGGCCAACCCCACAAGTCTTTTTGAGTGTTCAGTGAAGAGCAATAATCATCACCAGCTCAATTCCTGGCCAAAAGACATTTAATAATCAATTACACAATAAGTTTTTTTGGATTTTTTGGCAGCTGGCCAATATAGGGATCTGAACTCCTTACACACAATAAGCTTTTTATAAACACTACAGTAAGTAGGAGTGCTATGAGAAGCTACTTATAGGGAGCCTAACTAGTGTGAAGATCAAGAATGACAATGTAGTTAAACATACAGAAAAGGCTGGCCAGTTAGCTCAGTTGGTTAGAGTGTAGCCTTATAATATCAAGGTCACAAGTTCGGATCCGCAAACCAACCAGCTGCAAAAAAAAAAAAAAATTGCCAGAAAAGGAGAAGGAACAAAACACAAGATGAAACTGGAGAGGCAGGCAAGGAACATATTATGTAGGAATTTTGGAATTTATCCTAAATGCAACATGGCAACCTGTATTTTCTTATCACAGTGCTAATTACTCATGATTACTAATTAATCACCAAAGATTACTAATTAATCACAAAGGATGAAAAGGTATATTTACATAGAGAAATCTGATTGAGTCCTACCATAGCTATGAAATTAAACTTAACATTATCAATAAAAGGGCAAACTGACCACGTATGTCCCTTGATGTATTCACCAAGAACACCTCAACGTCACTTATGTGGTATTTTTACCAAAAAAATTTTTTAGCCTGAATCTAATCATGAGGAAACAATCAGACAAAATTGTACGACAATCTACCAAATAACTGGCTTAGAGTCTTCAAAAATGTCAACAACATGGAAAACAAAAAATAGGCAGGTGAACTACTCTACATTACAGGAAACTACACAGATGTAGGACAATCAACTGAACATGTGATGCTTGACTGGATCCTGGATTGAAGGGGAAAAAAAGGTACAGCTATACAAGACATTACCCACACAAGTGGAGAAATCTGAATATGACCTATATATTAGACAACATTACTGCGTCAATGTTAAATGTCTTGAAAGTGATAATGGCATTATGGTTATGGAGGAGAATTAACTTGTTTTAAGAGATATACATGCTGAGGTATTTAGAAGTAAAGCACCAGAATGTCTACAACTTATTTTCAAATGATCAGCAAAAAGCAATTTTAAAGAGATTAAGCAAATGTGGCCAAATTGTTAACAAGTGATCTGGATAAAGGATATACGGGTGTTCATTGTACAATTCTTACAACTTTTCTATAGGTTTTAAATTTATTTAATACTAAAATTTAGGGAAAAAGATAGTAATGAGAGTACACATACTGATCAATTATAATAATAAATACATTATGTTGCATTCACAGAATACTATACAGCAGTTACAATACATCATGTGAGTAGATCCGTCAAAATGAGTAGCTCTTGAAAACTATATTGACTGAAAATAAAATAAGTGGCTTGGCTGATGATAAGACACTATGTATGTTCGTTTCTTAAAACTCACAAAAGGAATACTATAAATTGAATATGGATGCATGCACACACAGTAAAGGTATAAAAAATGGGCGGGATGTAGATCAAACTACAGGATGTTGATTTCCATTAAAAATGGAGGGAAGAAAGAAAAAAAGGATTGGGAGGAATATAAAGGGAAGAGTAAAAAATATGAGAAATATATATGGTAAAATGTTATCACCTATTGCTTGAATTCACTGGTATATAGATAGGTATTTGTTATATTACTCTGTAGTCTTTTCAGTATGGTTGCAATATTTCACAATAAACAGATAAATTTTCAACCTTATATATCAATCTTATCTAATCAACTATTTAATTAACTATAAGTGACATATATTGAATTGGTAAACCTGTATATAGTGTAAATCTTTCTAAAATGTATATAAATCGATTAACCAGAACAATACAGCTATCAATGACAGAACAGGGCAGGGCTATGGAGCCACAAGGTAATAGCTAAGGCATGGGCTCTAGCATCTCTACAATAATGGGGAAGATAAAGAGAAAGCCAAGCTGAGAATTCAAAAGTACTCTAGTAGAGACAAAAGAAGATGACTTCTAATATTAGAGTCTGAGATAACTAAAACAGATCAAATTGAATTTTTCTAATAAGTGCTCCAAATGATGATGAAAAGGAACAATATGCTAAATCAACAAGATACTTCCATGCATATGAAGCACATAATATTGAACAAAATCCTATCACCTTTTTATTTACTTCTGTATTCTACTTAACATCTATTGAACAACTGATATCCATTAAACACATGTTAATCTTAATAAATGTCTATCAAACAAAGATAATACTCCTGAAAGTTCTCATTTATAAGTCATAGAGGATTCTCAATTACATAAACTTTCCCTTTAATAAATACAACAAAAGAGCCAGCCGGTGGCGCACCGGAGAGTGCACCGCTTGGGAGTGCGGCGGCGCTCCTGCCGAGGGTTCGGATCCCATGTAGAGACCAGTTCCCGCTCACTGGCTGAGCGCGGTGCGGACACAACACCGAGGGTTGCAATCCCGTTGCCGGTCCCCGGTACGGGCGCGACACCGAGGGTTGCGATCCCGTTACCGGTCAGTAAAACAGACAAAAAGGAAAAAAAATAAATAAATAAATACAACAAAGGAATATAAATACAGTTGACCCTTGAACAACGTGGTGATAAGGAGTGCTGACCCCCCACTCAGTCGAAAATCCTAGTATAACTTTTGACTCTCCAAAAACTTAACTATTAATAGCCTACTGCTAACCAGAAACCTTACCAATAACATAAACAGTCAATTAACACATATCTTGTATGGTGTATCTATTATATACTATATTCTTACAATACAGTAAGCTAGAGAAAAGAAAATGTTATTAAGAAAACCGTAAGGAAGAAAAATTACGTTTACAATACTGTTTATTTACTGGAAAAAAAAAATCCACATATAAGTGGACCCATGCAGTTCAAACCCGTGTTGTTCAAGGGTCAACTGTAACTGAAAGAGGGAAATAAAAAAGAAAAAAATGTTAATGGTAATAACAATGAAAATTCTCTCCCAAGAAGTGTCTCTAGAAGAAAGACTAATACACATATCTACAAATGTGGCACAGAAATCCTCAGCCTGCATATTCAGATTCTCCTGAATTTGCAGTTATACCAATATAAGCAAAGACATATATTCTAAGAAAATTTGTCACTACCACAGTCCTACCTTCAGTTTTCTGCTGCAAAACTGTCATCAAATGTTCTATAGCTTCATCCACATGTAGTCCATGGAGGTCTAAAACATTCTGTGGCAACAGAGAGGCATTGACTTTCTCAAAGATCTCCACCGCAGCGAGGTGATTGGCTTCTTTCATCTTCTGCTCATGAAGACTACCCTTTAATTGTAAACAGAGCACCAACAAACACTTTCGATATTTGCTACTTAGGCAATGAGGAAACCAATAGTGTCCCAAATAAAAGACAAAACAAAAAAGGGAAAAATAAATCTAAAATCTTAAATAATACAATGGACTAATATACAAGAAAGCATCAAAATTGTGAATTTCTGTAAATAATGTAGTTCTTAAACTACTGAATCACTGTTTCTAACATATTTTCTGAACCAAAAATCATAGAAAAGGGAAATTTAATTAAACAGTATCCATTTCAGGGAAGAACACACTGGTTTATTATCTTATGTTGGCATTCCCTCTCAACATCTTGTATTACCCCTGAAGCCATTCCCCAAAGTCTGCTGTTCGGACTCATGGGGCTGTACCAATCTGATACCTTTCACTGCTCAATCATGCAAAAGTAAGCCATATGGAACCACAAAAAATAAAAAGTAAATCAAGTGAGCTTCATATAATACCATGCCAGGCAGAAATTTTACTTCCCTCAAAAATATTAATATCAATTTCTTTTTCTGACTATAAAAGTGGTACGTTACTAAAAATTCAAATATGTAAAAACATGTAACCATTTAAATCCCTACATTCCTCCCGAGATGACCAATATTAATATTCCGCTGCCTTTCCTCCAGAAAACTTGTATCAGAAGTAGTACTGAATGACAGAATCTAACCTAATAGAAAATTTGTACTGTCAGAATAAACTAACTCATGTAAGCCACAAATGTAAAAACAACCACAAAAACAGAGCATTTCAAAGAAGATGAAATTCTCAGAACCATACATTTGTTATATATTAAGATACCTTATTTATGTCACTTACATAATCTCTACATTCCCCATAATAACCTAATCTAGTCACAATATGGGTATTATCTGCTTCAAGATTATTTAAATATCATAATTGACAAAGAAAAAAGGTATAAGAAGTTTTCCACTTTACCTGCTGGGCATAAAAGGTGGCGACATTTTTTTTCCCCATCCGATAAGCTTCTTTTGCCTTGCTGTAGCATTCTATCCTCTTCTGTTGGTGCAGAAAAGCCTCTGCCCTGTAGTCATCATACTCTGGGTACTCAAAATCCTGGAAAGACTGTTCACTTAGTGTATCTTCAGTCTCTTTTGATTTCTTTGCCTGTAAGATGTTACACAATAAGGTATACAAAGAAGGTAAGAAACATGCCTTACCTTCAGAAAATGCACAGGAAAACTGGGCTCCATTATTCATCTTTCTTAGAAAACAAACAACAGATTCTCTCCAGGGTCCACCTGGTAAGTCAGGTGCTTATCAGCTATCATTAAGTTTTTTATGCCATTAAGGTTACCCCTTCTTTAACCACTTTTATCTCAGGAGATGTTAAGGAGTTCTCTAAAATTATCAAAACAAAGTTTTTAAAGATGAAAAACAAAAAAAAAAAAGAAATTTAAATGTTAGTGTCTTGAAAACAAATAAACCAAAATGTTACTGGCATTAGGATACCCACTTTAGTAACTGTGGACCCCTAGAATCCTGGGATAACAAAGAGACAAACTATTCTCCTCACAAATCTTAAAGTTTTATCAGTTTTGTGACATCTGCCTACATTTTGTGAGCAAGCCTAAAAGTAATCTCCAGACATTAGGACCACTCAGAGGAGAATGATCAGGAATACAGAATTGCATGGAATATAGTTTTATGAAAAGACTCAGGCCCAGACCAGAGTTTCCACACAACCCAGGTGCACCAGATCTCATGAGAGCCAAAGTACCTATAAAGTCAACCATTTAAACCTGAGGGGAGCAAAAATCCTTCCCTAGGGAATCAGCAGCAAAGCAGCAACTAAGCTCAACCACAGAGCTCAAGTGCCGGTCCCCACAGGAAGTTCCCCCATTTTGGAAGTAAGCAAAGGACAGCAAATTAGTTCCAGCATAGAGTTTAAGTGGTGGGAACAGCATATAATCCAACACAGAACTGAAAGAAAAAGACAAAGTACCCATAACCAGAGACAAAGTTTGATATTAAGTAGTAAAGGTCTCACTTTACCAAAGAACACCTATAACACCTAGAAGGACCAGAAGTCCCTTGGTAGCCCAGGAGGGGGGAGGGCCAGGGGCCTCAGCCATGCCCCCCAACACATGCAACCAGCCCGGCAACAACCAAGCCGGGGCAGTGGGGGGCTGAGGGCCTTGGTCATGCCCCCTCGACATATGCAACCAGCCTAGAGACGACCACCAAGCCACAGCAAGAAGGGCCCCAGGTTCCCAAGCTGAGGTGGTAGGGGGCGAAGGCTTTTGCCACACCCCTCTGACATCTGCACCCAGCCCAGCAATGACCAAGCCACTGCTGGAAGCCCCCTGGTCTCCCCTGTGGGAATGAGGGGGGTACCACAGGCCTCAACCTCATCCCTCCTCCTTCCTTCTTCCATCCCCTTCCCCTTCCCCCTCTCTGCCTCCCTCCCAACTACCCTGCAACAACATCATAGAATGTAAAAAATAATATTAATTTAAAAATAAATAAATAAAATAAAAATAATCTCCAGAATAACTTAACATTTACATTTTGGCCAAGGTTTACATAACTAACAAAAACTCCTTTTCTAATTGCAACATTTTCCAATCATCTCCCACTTTGAGCAAGCACACCTTTTCTCCCCATCACTTCCCCTATCACCATAATGACCCACAGTACCTTGCAAATTATCAGGAGAGAGAAGAAGTAATCTTCCTTGATAATTTGGCCCAGAAAGTCTCATGATAATCTTGTAGACTGTCTGTATCTTACAATAGATTTCATCTATCTGTCCATGATACCATGTTTTCCAGATGAACAATCAGTGGTAGCACTAACATCATATGAATACCCAAAATTATCTAAATCCTATAACTCAACTAACTTATGGTGATACATTCAAAGAAAAAAGGGACCATACAATTTATCCGCAAGTGATCTTATTAATAAGAACAGCAGAATACAGTTCTATTAAAAAGAAAAAAAAAAAGCCAAATGCTGATACAAGATTAATATGTAAAATGAATTGTGTTTCTATGCATTTTCTATGAACAATCCAAAAGCAAAATTAAACAATTCCACTTACCATAGCATCAAAAAGAATAAAACATTTAGAAATAAATTAAACAAAAGACACACAAAACTTACACTCCAGGGCCGGCCCAGTGGCGCACTGCTACAGTGCGCCACTTGGGAGCGCGGTGGCACTCCCGCCAAGGGTTCGGATCCCACATACAGACCGGTTCCCGCTCACTGGCTGAGCGAGGTGCGGCCGCAACACCAAGGGTTGCGATCCCGTTGCCAGTCCCAGTCCGGTACGGGCGCGACACTGAGGGTTGCAATCCGTTGCCGGACACGAAAAAGACAAAAAGGAAAAAAAAAAAAAACTTACACTCCAAAAACCATAGCACACCATGGAAAGAAATTAAAGACCTAAGTAAATTGCAAGACACCCCATGTTCATGGACTGGAAGACTTAATATTGTTAAGATGGCAACTTTCCCCAAATTGATCTACAGATTCAATACAAGCCCCATCAAAATTCCAGCTGGCTTCTTTGCAGAAATTGACAAGCTGATCCTACAATTCACATGGAAATGCAAGGGGCCTAGAAAAGCCAAAACAATCTTGAAAAAAGTAGAACATAGTTGGAAGACTTACACTTCCCAATTCCAAAACTTACTACAAAGCTACAGTACTCAGGACAGTGTGGTACTAAAGTAAAGATAGACACACAGATCAATGGAATCAAATTAAGAGCACAGCAATACACCCTTTACACTTATGGTCAATTCATTTTCAATAAGAGTACCAAGAAAATTCTATGGGGAAAGAACAGTCTTTGCAACAAATGTTACCAGGACAACTGTATATCCACATGCAAAGGAATGAACAGGGACCCCTATCTCACAACATATACAAAAATTCACTCAAAATGGATCAATTAATGTTAAGAGCTAAAACTGTTAGAAGACAACATAGGCATGAATCTTCGTAACCTTGGATTAGGCAATGGTTTCTTAAATATAACACCAAAAGTACAATGCAACAATTGAAAAACGGATAAATTACACATCATCAAAATTTAAAATTTTTGTGTCCCAAAGGATACCATGCGCACACACACACAAAAGATGGTGGATGATTAGCTCATGTGGGTAAAGAGTGATACTGATAACACCAAGGTCCAGCATTCAATCCCTGTACCAGCCAGCCACCACCCAAAAAAAAAAAAAAAAAAAAAAAAAAAAAAAAAAAAAAAAAAAAAAAAAAAAAAAAAAAAAAAAAAAAAAAAAAAAAAAAAAAAAAAAAAAAAAAAAAAAAAAAAAAAAAAAAAAAAAAAAAAAAAAAAAAAAAAAAAAAAAAAGGAAAGAAAGGATACCGTCAAGAAAGTAAAAAGATAGCCCTCAGAATGGGAGGAAATTTTTGAAAATCATATATCAGATAAGGGACCTCTATCTAGAATATATAAAGGACACTCAGAACTCAACAATAAAAAGACAAATAACTTCAATTTAAAAACATTCAAAAGGATATGAACAGACATTTCTCCAAAGAAGATATTCAAATGGCCAATAAGTAAGTACATGAAAAGATGCTCAACATCAATAGTCATCAAGGAAATGCAAATCAAAACCACAGGAAGATACCACTTCTGTATTAAACATGTCTTTCATTTTCTGTATTCTTATGCTTTGACATTATGGGGCCTTGCCAATCCTGCAGAGACTGCCTCCACACACCCACTCTTGCCCACTAGGTTTAGCTAATTCCTAGAGATAGCAACTACCTGCAAGCATACCTTTCATTTGCAAACCAACCAATCCAGAGTCCATACCTTCAACCACCTCCTTAACAGGGCTCTCATAGTCCAGGCCACTATTCCCCTGCCCTATTCACCCAACGGCCAGGTATCAGACAACTATGAGCAGCCCCTATGCCCCAGAGCCCACTGAAATTCTTCAAATCAGCCAATCATAAACCTGCTTATCCTGCCTTGCCCATTCCTTCACACAGAAACCTAAATAAAGACTCCTGCCCACATTTCCCTCCTACTCCCTCTGCCTCCTGATCTACCATGGTAGCTCCCTGTGTGGCCTTGGGTAGCAAGCCATACCTCCTGTTTCTAGGAATCTGTGAGTATAATAAACTTCTTCCTTCATGACGTTTCCATGTTTACTCCACCTCATTAGAACAAATCCTGGATATCCTTAAAACAACTTCATACCTGCTAAGATGGCCATAATCGAAAAGACAACAGGGCTGGCTGGTTAGCTTAGTTAGTTAGAGCATGGTGCTGATAACACCAAAGTCCAGGATTTGATCCCCGTACCTGCCAGCCATCAATCAATCAATCAATCAATAAAAGAAGACAAATGTCAGTGAGGATATGGAGAAATTGTAACCCTCATTCATTTCTGGTGGGAATATAAAATGGTGCAGCTGCTTTGGAAAAAAGTTTGGCACTCTCTCAAAATACTTCTGCTTACATATTTATATTCTAGGACCCATCACATCACAAACCCACTGTTATTCAATTAAGCCTAGAATCTATTGTGTAGACTCTACTGTGTACATGGAAGTTGAAGAAATTCAAGTACTTGTCATGCACAGGGACATTGAAAAAAAAAACAATCAGAAATAAATTCATTATTTTGAGTGCACAGATACTCTAAACCAAATTTGCCATTGGTGGTCAAATTTCCAATCTAGTCAAAATGGTGAGAAATAATCATTAAATTATTATACTCAATGAACCAATTATGTTTTTATATACAACTACTACAATTATAGTAAAAAATAAGTAATTCCATACCTTTTTGTCTTTAGACTTCTGGGCAGTATGAGAAGTGACATTCTCATTTTGGTGAACAAACTCTTGCGCTACAACTGTTTTTACAGGGTCTCCTTCAAGAACACAGTTTAGAAACTGCACTGTATGTTCTAAAGAATAGCTGTAGAAAGTTTAAGTACAAATACAACGTTAATATAATGAAAATAAAAGTTACGTGGAGACAATATAAGCAATCTTCAAACAATATTTATAAGAATATAAAAAACTGGCTTACTTTTAAGTTTTCAACATTGAAATTAAATGTGCATTGTGTATCTATCCCAAGGAGTCAAGAATGATCAGAAGAAAACTGTCAAGTAATAGGCTCTCAAAAACTAATTTTTAAAGATGAATACCAAAAGGTGACATATTGATAATTAAACTTTATTCCAGGCAGATTATCCACAACAAATCTTTCTTTCATTTTATCAGCTATATTCCTTAAGTCCTTTGTTAGATTCACAAATGGTTTCAGTTTCCTTCAAACATCAAACACAGACAACAGACCACTAAAGCTGACATTTTTGTCGTGTCAAATTCCACTTTTACTTATATCATGGAGTTCTAGTCAAAGAAATTCTAAGCAGGGTACGGAAATAAGAAAGGAAAACACTATCCTCCCTATCATCCCTACATTATTCAGGCATGTTTCATGGTGATACTATATCATCTGTACTATGAGATTCTACAAATGGACAAACATCTGATACACTCATATTCCAATATCTAAAGACACTCATTCCAAAGAAAATTGTAAATGATTTTATACTGCTCATTATTTCAGAGTGTTTATACCTCTCATCTTTTCCATTGGCCAGATAATGAAGAGCCGACCATCTAGGAATCTTTTTGAAACATGATAACCAGTTATCCAAAATGGTGTGATATTTTGCTGTTCTTCAATTTATTAAAGACAACCCTTGAAGGGAAACCATTTAGAACTACCAATTCTACTTTAGCCCTCTCATCTTGCTGCCTCAGATATGCTCAATACACAGATTTCTAGGGGCTGAAAGCTCCCAGTCATTATCCAAATCCCTTCTAGCCCTTAATATCATCCGCCCACTCCCAGGACTGAAAGTCAATCTCCACCACTGGCGTTGTTTGAGGGTTACAGCCCTAGAAGATTACACCTTGAGCACATAATGCAATAACTGAGCCTATCTACCCTTCTTACCAAGATGAAGCTGAAGCTACTGTTAGCTGAGAGAATCATCCAGACAAAAGAGTCAATCAACTACCTATCCTGAGGGGCCTGACTGATCCATCACTTTGGCCATCCCCAAAAAGGACTCACCCAGCTCCTCACCTTGCCCCTTCCTTTCCCTTATGGGAAACCACAACTCTAGCCTGGTTCCTCTCAGGCCTTCTTGCCCCAGGCTCCCATAGAAGAGAGATGCCATATGCCAACACCACTCCCTTTGACCCCAGTCCTTGGGGGATTTTAATACATAATCCTAAGAAAACAGATTAGGTAGCAAAAATAAATTAGGAAATTATGGGCTAAAATAATACCATTAAAAGTTTGATTGAAGGGCCGGCCTGTGGCTCACTCAGCAGAGTGTAGTGCTGATAATACCAAAAACATGGGTTAGGATCCCATATAGGGACGGCCAGTTAGTTCACTGGGTGAGCATGGTGATGACAACACCAAGTCAAGGGTTAAGATCCCCTTACTGGTCATCCTTTATAAAAATAAAAATAAAAAATAAACTGATCATGTATTAAGCTACAAAGAAAATCTCAAATTCCAAAAAACAGAACTCTTCCAGGCCACATTCTTATGCCCCAATACAACAAAACAAAATAAATAACCTTCTGCTATCATCACCACTAATGCCATCAAACCATTTAGAATATTAAAAACTTCTGGGTAAATAGGAAACCAAACTGAAATTAGCTTATTAGAAAAGAATGAAAATGAAGACATCACCTACTAAAATGAAAACAATATACAGAGAAAAATTCATACCTTCAATGTATTTGTTATTAAAGACTGAAGGGAAATGAATTAACCAAAGAGTTGAAAACACTTGTATACTGACAAATTTTAGGAGAAAGAAATCAGCAAAAATAAATTATTAGAAAACATGAAACAATAGACTTTGACCAATAAACCAAGGGCTTCTTCTTTAAAAGGACCAATCTGATAAGGAGCAAAAACAGAGAAAACACAAAATATGCAACATTAGGAAAGGAAAAAGGGATATAATCGAATATAAAATAGTGTTTTGGGGGTCAGCCAGTTAGCTCAGTTGGTTAGAGCACTATTTTATAATACCAAGGTCACAGGTTTGGATCCCCACTTCAGCCACCAAAAAAAAAATAATGAAAATAATATTTTTAATTATAAAAGAATATTATATACAACTTAATAATAATGAACTTGAAAATGAAGGTATAAATGCTGACTTTCTGGAAGACAAAACTTCCAGAAATGACTCATGAAAGAAAGAAAACATCTTGGGCCGGCCCGGTGGCGCACTGGAGAGTGCACCGCTTGGGAGCGCAGCGGCGCTCCCGCCGAGGGTTCGGATTCCATGTGGAGACCGGTTCCCGCTCACTGGCTGAGCGTGGTGCAGATGCAACACCTAGGGTTGCGATCCCGTTGCCGGTCCCCGGTACGGGCCCGACACCAAGGGTTGCGATCCCGTTACCAGTCAGTAAAAAAAAAAAAAAGACAAAAAAAGGAAAAAAAAAAAAAAAAAAAAAAAAAGAAAGAAAACATCTGAATAGCACAATAACCTTGAAAAGATAAAGATTCTAAAGACTCTCTCCCTGAAAAGGTATAAGCCCAGAACCTTCAAGGTACTAAGTTATTTAAACTATCTATAGCAGAGAGAAAAATGGCAACCTTGCCAGTTTATTTTATTAAGCCTGATATCATATAAAACCCTGAAACCAAAATCTGACAAAAACAGCCCAGGAACAGAAAAATCACAGACCAATCTCATTTGATTACTGTTTCAAAAATCGTGATGAATTAGTAAATCAATTCCTACACTGCTTTAAAGGGAAAAAAAAACAAAAATCTGAAAATAAAGTAGGTTTTATGCTAGAAATCTATCATTAATGATTGATATAAAATGCTGTATATTAATAAACTAAGATCAAAATCTATATTAGATTCTTGAAAGGTTCTGAAAAGACCTCTTTTTAAAACAAACTCTTGCTAAAATACGAATTTAAGAAAAATATATTATCAAAAGTATAAATTATTCAAACCAGAAGCATTTCTTAATGTACCAAACATCAAAACTCACTATAACACTACAACAATTAAAACAATATGGTGGCAACCCAAGACCTAATAAATAGCTCAATGGAATCCAGAAAACGTGTATTTGGGAATATAGTAATTACTGGTTATATTTCATATCAATAGGTAAAAATGATCCATTCATCTTGTTAAATTATTTGGAAAAACAGTTAAGAAGTTAAATCTCTACCTCATTTATAAATCTCTACCTCATACCATACATATAAAAATGCTAGGTAGATAAAAAATGTTTAACTATTAAAAATACTGAAGAAAATATTTTTATAATATTAGGCTAAAACAGACTTCCTAAATAAGACATTAAACTCTGAAACAATAAAAGAAAATATTTTCTGATAAAACATACAAATTAAAACATGCATATGACCAAATAGACTATACCACATTAAGACTTAAGTATCATAGCAGGAAAAATAATTGTAATCTATCTTAACAGACAAAAGATTACTATTTAGAGAGCTCCCACAAGTCTAGAAAGAAATAGGGAAAAAAAGAAAAAAGAAAAACAAGCAAAAAGCAAGTAATTAGTATTAATAGAAAAAATAAATGCAAAAACTCAATCTTACTAATAATCAGATAAATAAAAATTTAAACAATAGTATCACTTTTTCCCATCAGATTGGCAAAAATTTTTTAAATTACTAATATCCGGGGTGGTTACACTGTCAGTGCATATAACTGATACATGCAGCCCTTATCCTTATTAAAGGAAATTTGACAGTAGCTATAATTTTAAATGCACACACTCTGAACTAGCAATTCTACTCTTAGGAACAACAGCATTGACCCATATACACAAAGATGTATTTTCAAGGATGCTCACTGCAACATGGTTTCAAATATTTTTCACAGTCAAAAAGTCCACAAATAAGGCATGTTGAAATAAATTATGGTACTTTCCTACTATGGAACACTGCAGACTTGAGAAAGAAAAGAGGAAACCACAAAATATGGACAGGAAAAATACCAGCAAAACTACAAAACAGTACATAACATACAAAATTTTTGGTGTAATACATATGAACATACACGCACAAAAGATAAAGGCACACACATACATTAGCATATGTGTGTACACACACACACACACACACACAAGAAAAAATTAAGGAGAAATATATGTTAATTGCCAGAAACTGTTCACTTTCTACATTATGTACATTGCATTTGAATTGTTTATAATATGGCTATATTGTTTTTGTTATCAGAAAAATAAACATAACAGATTAAAATATGTGGCACATATTTCTAGTGACATCAGAGTAGAAACTACAGACAATCCTTCGGCACTCACTTGTGGTCCTTGAAAATGTCTGCCAGGAAATTTTGGTTAATAGCTGGAAATATCTTAAAGAGTTGTTTCTCCTTTAGTTTAGTGGCACAATCTTTTTCAAACATAAGTGTCTCCCTTTTCTAAAACAAAAACACAAAAATCAACCTTAAGATGGAATTTATAATACTAGAACACTAACCAAAAGCATGGTTATTTTGTTGCAAAAAGACTAATAATTTAAAAGCAATCACAGACTTTCTTCACTTATTAAAGGCTAAAATTAGTAATATAAGTACTCTTGCACTATTTATTTATATCCCATTTTTTGCGAAGTATTTGAGGTTGCTTGTAAATACACACATACACACACAATCACACGCATACATATGTATATGCATGTGTACATAAACATATACTCATATATACATTCAATACATTCAATCATATTATATAAAAAGGATGAAGATATATACAGTATATATAAACAGGATATAAATAAATGAAGTCAGAGAATAGAGAAAATAAAGGTAAGAATACAGGATAAAGCTAGCAAGTAAAATTAGTATATAAATGCATGCCACAAAATCCTGTATAATTGCTAAAGGTGGACCACAAATTTAGTTCTGAGCCTCTTAGTGGCCAAAGCAAAGGGGGAAACAAAGATTCTCAGTGTCCATAAAATAAAAACAAACCAGTTGCTCAGGAGAAGTACAGCTTTTTCTGGTACTGAGACCTGAGAGAAATTTCTCCCATCGGTCCTCATAAAAGGGACACTGTGTGATGCTGTGAACAACGTCCTCAAAAACATATTCTCCTCAATGGGCAGAAACTACAATGTACAAATAAGTTGAAAATTCAGGTTGACAGAAAATCTTAGAATTCACAATTATTTTTAAATTTTTCACAAACATATTTACTGCAAAATAACTATATAAGAACTATTATTGCTATTTTTCACAATTCATATTTGGATCTGTTCAAATTGCCAGACCAAAAGAACTTTCCTGAAATAAGCTATTTTAACTCTAATCTAGATTATGGTAAACCTTCTTAAAGTGACTTGTAACTATGACACTTTGTCAACACTGTGATGTAACTAAACAATTTTTGTTTACTATAAAGCTCCCGATGTCTGAAAAATCACTTCCTATAAAATTTCAAAAGCAATAAAGTGACTCTGAAAATTCCCAAATTTAAAAATTATAATAATTCAAGACAATCCTAGAATTGTTTTGAAGCCTAACCATATTTAGGCCATTTATAACATCAAACAGCAATAAAAAAGGAACCATGATTGGTGACAATATGACATGAAAAAGAGGACTGATAAAGCTGAACATATCACTAGAGTGATGGAAACAAGCCACCCTCAAGAATTAAAAATATTTGTATTTATGCATTATAATATGAACTTACTAAAAAAAAATCAATAATCAGATTTGCTGTAGCAATTTATCAGGTCTAAACTATAAATTCTGAGGTCTCATCAATGAAATCTCATGACCTTCAACATCTTACTATTAATTATTCTATTCATATACTATGCATAAAGTTGATTTTACATTCTTTGCTTTAAAAAATATACAAAGTGTATTTTTCCTTTGGGGACAAAGCGTAAGGAGAAAGCATCAATAAATTCCCTTACTAAACTAACTGGTCAGTTAGCTCACTTAGTTAGAGTGTGATGCTGAGAACACCAAGGTCAAGGGTTTGGATCCCTGTTTTTGCTGGATGCCAAAACAGAAACAGAAACCAGAAATTCTCTTACTGAGGCTCTTATTTGGGGGTGGGGGGTATCCCTCAGACTAAAGTCGTGTAGTCTCTATTACCCAACCCATAAAAAGATAAGCAAAAATCACTGATGCAAAAAAAAAATGCATTAAGTTGTGAAGTCAAAAGATGCTCATTTGTTCACTATTATACTGAGAGATTAAAAGACAGAACCATGAAGATAAGTTTCAGTAGTGGAAAATGGCATTTCGACAAAAAGTATCACATCATTGTGTTAAGCTTTTCTTATTTTCTTAAGAAAATCCATTTCTCCAAATTATTTACATAAATTGAAGAGGATATTTGAAACATTAAAATCATAAGATTCTGAAGAGATTGTTCCTTGGATTATGTTAGGAGGCAAAGATGGGAATGGTAGCATATTTCCAATTTAATTAACAAGATAACTAGGAAAAATAAATATGAAAGTAGAGAAATCCCACCATTCTTCCTATGCCCCAATTCTATGAGTAGTCAAATGAGTAAGAAAGAGTATAAAAATGTTTTAAGATCACCATCTCGGGATTTTTTTTTCCTTGAGATTTGGACTAAATAACCTATATGGGTCTTTTCCCTTTTGACTTTGAAATTCTTTAATACTAATTGTCAGAATTCCAAAAAAGGCTAAGAAGAAGAAATGAAAAAGAAACTAACTTCACTTGTGGCTTCATACAGTTAGGTATGTTGAAATAAGGAGACAAAAATAAATAAAAGTTCAAAGTAAAATGAAGTTTCTGTTTGAACTTGCTTAACTGAAAAGTTAGATAGAAAAGGAAGAATAATTTTTTTAATTCAAATTCATAAGTTTCTAAGATTTTTCTATAAAAACTTCTGTTCCAAAGATGAACACATTGTTAATAGCAAGACAGACATTTCTTATTAATTTATACATAAAAGTATGTTTAAATGAAAGATTTCTTATATGTTTTCTAGAGATAAAAAAAAAGAGGTAAATGTTAAAAGCTAAGAAAGATACAGCTCAAACACCTGCAAAATTAAAGCTAAAACAACACAAATTTAACATAGATGGTTTATTGTAACAGAGTATCAACTAATTTCCCAGAAGCAAAAACCTCTAGCTTCAAATTATACTTAAAACATTTTTAAATTTTAACATTAACTGCAAGCAGGTTAAAGATGTATTCCAGTCTACGAAATACAGAATCAAATAAAAATCACAAAATAAACACACACAACTAGAGCCAGAGATAACGGCTTAATATTTATACTAACTCATACCAAATCATGTTTTTCCTGTAAGGCAATTTCTTCTGACATTATTTCTCTGAGTGATACTTTTTTAGTTTGAGTATTCCAATGATCCAATAAGGGTAGCATATCAGGTGCTGCTAAAGTCTTCACTAATCTTCTGCCAGTTCTCTGAGATGATTTTTGCTCGGGATTGTCAACACCAATATGTCCAACCAGGGAAGAATCTACAACAGCAGTATAAATAGTGTCATACCCTCAACAATAAATGTACAAATTAAACACTATTCATTCTGCTAAATCTATCTATTGTGGAGAGTCCAAGGAAATATGGCTTTTTACTTTTCGGTTTGTAAATATAACACTACTCTGAAAGTTCAAAATACAACTTCACATAATTGTAAGCAAGAAAGATATATGTAAATATAGGAATATTCCAAGTGAGTAATAATCTGGGCATAATTGTAAACCAACTCAATGCTTCCCACTCTTTGCAAATCACATCAACACACAAAAAACGATGACACTTGTAAACAGAGGAAGTTACAGCCAGCTGTAAGTGAGCAACTAGAACAGCTCTAGTCAGCTCTGTCCAGCCACTCTAAGGACTGAGAGGATCAATATTTTGGCAAACCTATAACAAACTGGAGGCGCACAACAGACTGAGCAAATTATATTCAAAATAAGGAACTGAACATTCTAAGAAGTTTGCAATAACCGAATTTAATGTGTAACACTTCAGCATCTCTAAAGGATATGCTGATATATTCCTTTGCTTTCCTGGGGAGTGAAAAAACAGCAGATACTGGCATTCATACAAGCATGATATCCTTTGACAAGCTCTATCCCTCAAACAGCTTAGCTCTTGAAGCTACAACATGAACACAGGTCTGAACTAAAGCAGATCCTAAGAATCTTCAAAGTGGAGCTCCATGTCTTGCTCCCAGTGCAGACTGGACTAAAGAGGCACCTAAAGGAACCCATGCACAAGAGGAAGACGCTTATTAACAGGCCTGCCACCCTGCAGTAATTACTGAAGACAGTGCTAAGAGAGGTTATGTGCAATGAAATATTTTTTAAGCTAGAAGGATGAACCTAAAAAAAGGTTGATTTTTATTATCTAATATTAATATCAATAAAGATTTTAAATAACCAGGTAACATTTCAACAACACTCTTGATCAAACACATGAACACTTTATTTCTCTCAAACCAAAACAGATTTCTTTCAGGCAGAGCAAAACCTTAACAGAAAACACTTTTACTATATGTAGTAGAGGTCCACAGCACTCATGAAAGTTAAATATATATGATAGGGGCTTTTTTTCTCTTTTATGTTTTACTTTATATCAATATTAAATGTTAAGTATTCTTAAAGAACTTTTATTTGCAAATCAAACTTTACAGGTAGCATATTTTCTGTTTAAATATATTTAGAATTAGTTAAAATTCACAAACCCACACCAAGTTTTAACATTAAGACAAGAACATTAGAAGTAAAAATATGTACTTTACCTTGCAAAAACTTGCCACTGGATACCTCTTCTTGTCTTTGGCGCTCCTAAACACAAATGCAGAGCAGGGGATTGGCATTGGCAAAGGACAAAGTTATATTATTTTTCTCTAGAAATCATTTTCTCCTTGAATAACTGTAAATCTTTCTTACTAAATCTAAGTAAAACAATAAATCCAGATTGAGAAAATCATAAAGTATGCCTACATCTATATATTTTTCCACTTATAGAGCTCTTATGCTGTTTTCTAAAAAACTGTTCTTGAAATTTAATCTATCAGCATTGTGGTCTTTAATTTAGGGAGGAAAAAATTCACTACGACTTTTTTCCTTAAAAAGAAAAAAAAAAAAATCAACAATCACATTGAGCTCCATCACCAATTATATAATTGGGCCAATCTGGAATTATCTAAAATACTGGAAAGAGGGAAAAAAAAAAAAGTAATCTATTAGCTGGTAAAATTTCATTCTTTCTCAAAATCAAAATTCAATAGAACTCTTTCATATAACATGGTAGATTTTATTGAAAAGCAAAGGTGACAAAATGGATACAAAAGGAGCTCTTTATAAAAAGAAGCTACCAACCATTACGGATTCTTTCCATTTCTCATGAATCACTTTAGCCAGATTCAAATCTATGTGAACCACACAATCCTCAACTGTTAGAGACCCTTGTGAGGGGGGAAAAAGAAAAGAAAATATAGTCATTACTCATTATCCATTTGCAGAAAATGTATTCAAGCACTTTATGCATCATAAAACTAATTTCTATTATTAATTACTAACTTACGTTTCTATTTACTAAATCTCTTGGAATTTTACGTTATATGCCATTGTTTTCGTACTTCTTGACTGGTGCAATTATACTAAGCTTCACAATAAATTTCTTATTCATTTCCATTAGTTTAACTTATTAATTTCTATCAGTCAAGACTTTTCAATAAGTATGTTCTAAGAAATTTATCTTGCCTTAAGTGTATCTGGAATAGGAACCAAGAATAAAAAAAGGTTCATCTTTACTAGTGAGTATACAACTTTCAATATAAGAGAAAACTTTCTACATATGCACAGGATGAATACGGACTCCATATACATAGTCTCTATTTCTTCAAATTACATTTTTTAAAATATTCTAGATACATGCTAAAAATAAGTTACTATGTGAAGTTAGACAATACAAACTACTTTTACATTTCAGTTAACCTATGAAATAATTTCATAATTGAAATAGAACCCTCAATATTCTGTTCATACAAAGACAAATGTATAGATAATTTGTAATTTCCTTACCTGAATCAATACCAACAGGACCAAATAATTCATTGAGTTGAAAAGCCAGTTCAGGGGGTAATGCCAACTCCAGACAGTCTATGGTCAGAGATTTGGCCACCACTGGTGCGGGATTTAGTATCTCAGTTTTATCTTCTTCACTAACTCCAGCTGACAAACTATTCTCTGCTATTAGAATTTTCTCCATTTCTTGTTCATCTTCATTCGTAAGTTCTTCTGTGTTTGGAAATTTCACATAATCCTTTGGAAGATTTTCATTGTTCTTTATCTCAAAAGAGTCATTAAAATCAATTTTTTCATTTAACTCAAGATTCGAAGTACTCGAAACAGAGTTTAAAACATCAGACAAATTTAAAGAATGTATACTGTCTCCAGTTTCTGTGGCTACTACATTCTTCTCCATTTCACTCACATTTTTAGGGACGGTAGCTTTTACAATATTTGGAAAAGACTGCTTAATGCCATACAAAACTGAAAGTTCTGCCTGACTCTTAGAAAGTGCTTCATTATTATTCTTTACATCTATAGCAGCATGAGAAAATATTCTTGTTATTAATCCAGGTTCTTCAGGACTTATAGCTCTTATTTCTGCCTGCTCTGAGTTTTCCTCGTCTGCATCACAGGTAGACTGTGCACTAGTGTTACTAATAATTCCATGGCTAAACTCTGGCAGAGAAGGATTAGAATCCTCTAAAGTTCCTCCTTGGCTAATAACTTCTTTCAAATTCAATCCCAGAGAAAATGGTCCAATTTGTGAGTCATCGTATGACTTTTGGAAATTCTCAAATTCAGTATCCTCACATAATTTAGTTTCAGAATCCAACAAAAGGCTTGTGGCCCAAATAATATCTTTATTACACCTCTCATATAAGTCTTTCAGGGCTTCTAATGAAAAGGATCCAAACAGTTTACAAAGAATATTAAGATTTTCAGATTCATCAGCACTGGTAAGCTCACTTTCTTCAACATACGTGCTTTTATCATACATTACCCTATATGGAATTGTTTCTTGAACATCTGACTTTGTGTTAATGTTGAAAGCTTTCGGCTTAAATCCATTTAATCTTCCTGTTAATACTTTCAAAGAATCTGAAACACTAATTTTATTCTTTTCTACTTTCCATAAGAGTGCAAAATCCTGTGGTTCAGTCTGGGTACACATGACTACTTCTAGTCTAGGGACACCTTCAGGTATTCCCTCTGGAAATTCCGCTAAAGTTTGTTGTCCTACTACTCCAGGAGTAGTTGGTGCACAATTGGTAAAATTAAGAGGCAATGTGTGTTCCCCATAAATCTTTTTATTTAAACATGTCTGATTCTCATGGGTCATTTCACTGGGTAGCATTTCAGAACTTCCTAGAGTGGAGCTACCCAATGTTTTTAGTTTTTTAGGGCTTGTGCCCCAACAGGCGTCATGTGCTGTGTACAAGGATATTTCATTCATATTGTCATTAGTTCCAAATTCTAGGTTGGGTTCATTTAAACTAGCCTTTGGCATTCTTGATCTGTGCTCTCTCTGAACTAAAGAATCAGATGAAGGCCAATCACCCACAATGCTGAATGAGTTTTTTTCATTATTTTTATAAGTTTCATATCTATAGCTACTGAGGAACTCTGAAACATCACACTGTGACTTCTTGTCATCCTCTACAGTCTCATGTGGAGATCCTCGTTGCTGGATACAATCTATATTCACAGATACACTATTATCTAATACTTTGCATGACTGAGGGTAACTATAGTTTTTGTCACTTTGTACAGATGATGCTTTTTCAGTTTTTCGGTTCCTTTTTGTCCTCTGACCAATAGTCGTATCAACTGGCCAGTCACCAACAAAATTTGATACCTCTTGTCCTGGGAACTTTTCCAAAGCTGATTTGCTTTTTTGTTTCCCAAAGGCTTTTTTCTTTACTGTTGCTCCTTCTTCCAATATTTCACCAGGTGAAGATTTTTCATATTGAAGTGGTACAGTACTTGCATGATCATAGTCTTCCTGATCATTTTCACCATAACAAATACTTGGTGATACTCCCTCTACAGAACTATCTGCATCGGTTCTATTATACTCTTTTTCAGACACCATTTCTACTTGCTCTTTTTTGCTTTTGCCTGTTGCTCGTACTTTGCTTTCAGAGTCAGAAAAATAAATGTGTGGAGCTTCCTGAACAAAAGCACTCTGAGTGTTTTGATTCATACCACTTAATTCTTTTCCTCCTTTGTTTAAATCTGCATTAGGGAGATACTTAACATTCTCAGATAACACAGTTTCTTTAATCACTTCAAGATTCTTCTCTTCAATTAATTCTAGGTGCTTCAAAGAGGAGGATAAAACATTATCTTCTTTTTCAGAGGTAATATCTTCATTGACTCTTGGGCTGTAAGATGTTTTTTAAAAGTATCATAAGGAAGTCTCTTAATGTTGCCATTAATACTATGAATTAAATTAAAGAAGCATTCAACTGAAAGACAGGGCACTTAACATTTATTGTGAGAATTCTAGAAATAAACTACGTCAAAATTATAAAAGCTACCTTGATTTTTCCCTAACGCACCATGAACACTTTCCTGTTGCAACCCCAATACCTAGCACAATGCTTGGCATATATGAAGCAAACTTTTTTTTTTTTTGGGCAGTTGGCCAGTAAGGGGATCCAAACCCTTGACTTTGGTGTTAACCAAGTGAACTAACCAGCCAGCCCTCAAACTTTATTCCAATTAAATAGCAAACATGAGATTTTCAGTTTAGGTGTTTATTATGCATTAAGTATTAAAGTTAAGACTCTGAATTTGTCCCCAGGAGAAGACACCACCTATCTGGCTTCTTTCTGACCTATTTATGCTTAGCATATATAAAACTAGGTCTGCCTCTACAGTACCTATCTGTCATTTGCTACAGAGGAAGCTCTGTTTATAAAGTCGCAAAACTCCAGCCAACATGATTTGCATGATTAAGAGAACAGAGAAAGGGGGAAAGAGCTCTCATTTGAGATGCCCCTTGTGAAGTTTTTTAAAACCATCCTCAACATTAATTTCAGATCCAGAGCCCTTCTGCCTAACCATTACACTTTCAACGTCAGTAAATTTTCCTTATTCAATTTGTCAATTCATCTTCCTTTCTTCCTTTCTTCCAGGAGTTCTCAAAGTCCCAACTCTCCCATGAAACCCTCCTAACCGAAATCACACCTAACATTAACTGAGTTTTCTGTTACAAAGCTTTGGGATTTGACCCCAGGAAGTACAGCTCTACAGTCCATGCTCTTAACCACTCTGCAGCACTGCTTCTCAATAAAAAAAAAAAAAGCATTTAAGAATTTTCTCTTTCCAACTTCCAACTCCTTTTTAACCGAGCCTCTCCAACCCTTACCATCATAAAATATGGGCAATTCAGACCTCTACATATATTTGGGTTCTTCTTTATTCACTTATTTATCCAATTGTTTACGTGTCCTAAATGCTTCACAGAATCAGTACTATCCTGGATTGCAAAGTTCTAGAAGGCTATCACTTGTATTACTTAGTAAAAGTGTATCATTAATAATTGAGAGTATTTTCACTAAAATCTAAGAAAATTAAGAAGTGATGTGAATAAATACAAAAAAATAACAGCAAGGAGATAAGGTTAATACCAGAATAGCAGAGGACATTACATAAAGAAGGGAGGAGTATTCATAGTATAATCAAGGACTCATAAAATCCTGAAGTCAATGAAAAAACTCTGTCACCCCTCATAAGAACTTTTATTTCTCTTGCTAATTATATACATCCCAGTTCAGGTAAGACTTTACCTAAACTCTTACAAATTTTTAGTCTACCTTACTTTTAAAGTTAATCAGCAGTGATCTCACAAGCTCTAAAATTATCATATTTTTAAAAATTATGTTTCAAGTATTTTCTACATAAGGCATTTTAACCTACCTAGTACTTCTGTCCTCACAAGAATATGCACACAACTCAATACGTTCTATTTTCTCTGGAACCGAAGAACTCATGATTATTGGTACTGAAACAAAACGTTGATAGTGTTCTAACATTCTTGTTATTTTTTCTTTGCTTATCCCATGAATATTACGCCTAAAAATTCCAGGAGAGAAAAGGATAGAAGAAATATTGGTAATTAAGTTTAAAGAAATCAGAACATGTAATGTCCAGGAAACAAACGACATATTCCTAATTCAGAACGGTAACAACCTGGTTTATTATGACACAATATATACTATTTGACTCTGTCATTTCATTCAGCATTTCTTACTCATGTCATACAACCTTTTCCAAACGCCCTTTATCAATCTGGAGAAAACCAGCAGGTCCCAGTAACTTTAAAAGAAACTGTTCTCAAGCTATGCAAAAAACTCCTAAGCATATGACCACCATTTCAAGGCTTTAGTTAATTATTAACTAGCAAACAAAATCACACTTGTGCCAGAAAGGCAGGCTAGATGTTTTAAAGGGCCTTCCTCTTACAATAAAACTAGATCCCAAGTGAATTAAAACAAACATATGTTTTAATGCATTTTAACTGCAAACAAACAAAAAAATTCCTAGTATTTGAAGTCTCTGGATGGAAAAATATGTGCTTTCACTCATAGTAGTTTATTTCATTGTGTGCTTTTGTTTGTGAGCTCATATTTGGCTGAACTTAGACCTTAAACTGGGGAAGCTTTCATTCATACGGCATTTGGATTTGCATGTGCCAGGAGGCCAGATGGTATGCTTTAGTCCCTCTAAGGTCTTGACTTAATGAAAACGTCTCAGTTACAACTCTCCTATCTTGGATTAAATTCAAAGCTTTGTGTCTGGATCCCAGGGCTAATATTAGCATTTGCCACTTGGGCAAATCTGGCTTTCATATTTACCTACCTCAATCTTGTCTGGTTTCAGATCACAAGAGAAGCAAAGAAACAGAAAATATGAAAGAGAGGTTAAAGGAGACATAGACATAGAGGACAGGTAAAAAGGTCTAGTAGTATACATCTAATCCAAGTCCCAGAAAGAGAAGAGTGCATGGGACAGAAGCAATTTAAAGAAAATTGCTGAGAATTTTCCAGAACTGATGAAAGACACCACTCCCCAGATTTAACAAACCCAACAAATCCCAAACAAGATAAAAAATTAAGAAACCCACAACTAGAAACACAGTACTAAAACTGTCATTCACCAAAGACAAAGAGATGATATTAAGTGAGCCAGAAATTTTTTTTTAATTTTTAAAAACTAGTCATATACAAAGGAACCCACAATTGGAATGACAGCTGACTTTAACAACAGTGATAATGGAAGTCAGAAGAGAGCTAAATGTTACCTTCAATAACAAAATAACTGTCCGTCTAGAATATATACATCCAGCAAAAATATCATCTTACAAGAATGAGGGCAATAAAAGAATCTGCAGATTAAAAAAAAAAAGTTTGACACCAAGCAAGCCTTTACTTTAAAGAAAATTCTAAAAGATGGACGTCAGGCAGAAGGAAATTCCCAGGTGAAAGGTCTATGATGAAAGAAAAAATGAAGTACAAAGCAATAACTACATGAGTAAGTGACAACAAACACTGTATATTCTGGACAATGAGAGCATATAAGTTGGAAGGGAGGTACTATCAGAGATAAAATGTTTTAAAATCCTTGTACAGTATTTGTGAGGAGGAATGCTTAAGAACATGGTTTAACTGTAAAGTTTGCATGATAAACTTGTAAGGTAACCAATAAAAGAATTAAAATAATATATATAATTTCCAAATTAGTCAAGAAGGAAAAAAACTAAGAAAATTTGAATTCAATCAATCAAAATAAAATCCAAAATGAGGCATAATAGGAGAAAAAATTCAACTATATAATTCTCTGTAATAGAACAATTACAGAAAAAGTGAGATAAGTAGAAAGCACACAATGAGACAGTAAGAAACAAGATCAATTTTTATATGAATAACCAAAATATCCATAAAAGAACTACATTTATCAGTTAAAAGCCAAGGTGGACAGAGTGGATTTTTTAAAACTCAAACAAAGTGGTTTCAAGAGATATACCTGAAGATAAGGATATTTAAAGGACTAAAGTAAAAGTATGGAAAAAGGAGTAACACTCAAATACTAACTAAAAGGAAGCTGGTAGAGTTCTATTAATATTAGGCAAATTAAACTTTATAAAAAGGATTACTATTAAAGACAAAAAAAGTCACCAGAAAAGGTTAAAAAGTTTCAATTAATTAGAGTAATATAAAAAATCTTAAGTTTGCACATACTTCAAAAAATACCCTCCAAATATATAAAGCAGAACTTTAGGCAGAACTATAAGGAGAAACTGACATGTTCAACACAGTAGAGGGAGATTTCAAAATACCTCTCTCATGGTGGGAGATTTCACCATCCCTCTCTCAAATATTAATCCATCGGGCAGATTAAAAAAAAACTAGTAAAAGTTATAGGAGATGTGAGCAACAGAATTAGTTAGCATGATTTAATAGATACATTAACAAGCTGTAACCAGTATATATTCTTACCAAGCAAACATGGAACATTTATAAAAAACTGACAATTAGGCCATAAAACATCTTAAAAATATCAGAGAATTAGTATTACATGAATCACACAATCTGACTTACTGCAGTCAAGTTTTAAACCAATTTTTAAAAAAAAATAAAACACCCATCTGGGTCCGGCCCGTGGCTCACTGGGGAGAGTGCGGTGCTGATAACACCAAGGCCATGGGTTCGGATCCCATATAGGGATGGCCAGTTTGCTCACTGGGTGAGCGTGGTGCTGACAACACTAAGCCAAGGGTTGAGATCCCCTTACCGGTCATCTTTAAAAAAAAAAAAAAAAAAACCCCATCTGTTCAGAAATTTGAAAACACAGTTCTAAATAATCAAAGAATTAATAAAATTAATCACAGTGTAAATTAGAAAGTATATAATGACAAAAAGAAAGTATTCAAAATTCTGGGAGCAACTATAGTAGTACACAGGAAAATCTATAGCATCAAATGCTCATATTAGACAATGACCTAAACCTTCAGGTAAAGAAGTTTAAAAAAACAAAAGAATAAACAAAGAAAAGTAGATTTTTTTAAAAAACGAAGAATGTAGAATAAAGAGAAACAGAAATAAATTAAACATAAGACAAACTTACAATAGAGACCAACCGATCTCTAGTAAGAATAATCAAGAAAAAAAGAAGATAACGAAAACACATTAGGATTGAAAAAAGGAACTTAACTGTTAACACAGCAGAAATATAAATGGTAAGAGAATATTATAATTGTTTTAACAAAGTCTTTATTAAGACTTAAATTTGAAAACTTTGGTGTAATGGCAAAATTTCAACTGAGCCTCCTTAGAAAGAAAACACCAGATCCAGACAATTTTATATGCAAATTTTAACAAACATTCAAATTCAGATAAACACAAAAAAGAGAAAAAGAAGAGATACTTCCCAATTAATTTTATGAACCTAAAACTATGATACCAAAAAGTCAGACAAGGCAGGTCAAAGAAGGAAAAACTGTAAGCCAATCTCACTCATTTACACAGATGCAAAAATCCTAAATGGAATATTAGAAAACCAACTCCAGTAATGTATCAAAAGGATAATAAAAAGGAATTAAGTAGTGATACATGCTACAATATAAATGAATGTTGAAAACATTATGCTAACTGAAAGATGCCAGACATAAAATGTCACATATTGTATTATTCCATTTATATGCAATGTCCAGAATAGGAAAATCCATAAAGAGAAAAAAACAGTTAAGTGGTTGCCAAGAGGAGGGTTGAATTGGGAGTAACTGCTAGCAGATATGGGGTTTCTTTTTGAGGGGATGGAAATGACCTGAAAGTAGATAGTGGTTATGACTGCACAACATTGTGAATATACTAAAATTGGGTTGTCCTTTAGTTAGTATTAAAATTAGCTATAATGACCAAGAAAAAGAATAGTCTAGCAAAAATTAACTTAGGGCTATCTCTAAGGGAATACAGAGAACAAAGCAAAACACATTGTATGTCTATGCCCTGAGTAACATTTTTATTCGAGTCAAGCAACCAAATAAGGTATAACCTTGGAAGGTGTTGGTGGGAAGGGAGTGACGTACCTGGACAGCTGGATATTTGCTACCTTTTTCGTCTCTACCTCCTTACCACCTTCTAGTATTCTATGTCACTAGGCAGCTATAATAATTTGTCTCTCCCAGTAGCACAGGGTTCAAGTGTGCCAAATCCTAGGGTTTGTTCTAGTCTCAGATATTAATGTATTATTAAAAGGTAATAAAGTACTGACTATATAAGGTAACTGGCATTTTTCTGACTATGAATTTTAGAAACAACAAGATACAAATTTCGTAAAACTGGAAAAAAAAACTCATATGCAAAACAAAATTTGTTAGCAATTTTTAAGCGACAAAGCTGCAATCGAATCAATTTTGTTTTCATTCATCATCTATAAGGGGAAAAAATCTAGATAAACTTTCTATCACTCATGAAATAAGAAACATGTTAGTTAGCCTCCAAGCTTTACCTTGCAAGTTCCTTTGGTTTGAACTTCCACCATGTATCTGGTTCCCGGAAAAGGACTTTATATTTATGTTTTTGAGACTATATACAAAAAAGAGAAAAACATTCAAAATAATTATTTCCATGAAATTAAATCCATTGTTTCCAAACTCATAGCATGTTAAAAGTGAAAGAACCTAAAACATTGTCTAATCTTGATGGGTGTGTAAAACTGGTAAAATACCCAATCTCTTTGACCCAGCAATTAACTTCCAAAAACTCATGCTAATGATAAATACTTAAATAAGAGCACCAAGACATCTAGCTCACCATTATTGTAATAGCAAAAGAACAGAAATAACTCAGTGGCTATTAATGTGGAACTTGCTAACTAAATAAAGGTACAACAATATGAAAATATATAGTAATTTTTTATTTTTATTTACTTATTTATTTATTGTGACCGGTAAGGGGATCGTAACCCTTGGTTTGGTGTCGCCCGCACCACTCTCTCCCAAGTGAGCCAACCGGCCATCCCTATATAGGATCCGAACCCGCGGCCTCGGCGCTCCCAGCACCGCACTCTCCTGAGTGAGCCAAAGGGTCGGCCCTTTATTTATTTTTTTACAAGATGACTGGAAAGGGGATCTTAACCCTTGACTTGGTGTTGTCAGCACCACGCTCAGCCAGTGAGCTAACTGGCCATCCCTATATAGGATCCGAACCCGTGGCCTTGGTGTTATCAGCACCACACTCTCCCGAGTGGGCCACAGGCTGGCCCACTATAGTAATTTTTTAAATTCTGCATGTGTTAGTGAGAGAAGTCTTTAAAATAAATTGTGAGAAAAAAATAAAATAAAATAAATCGTTAGGAAATTAAAATAAAAATTTTCACTTGGGTAAAAAAGGATTATTTACACAGTTATACATACATGGAAAACTTCTGGAAAGAGTCTCAAAAATACTATCAAAAGCATCTGCCTCTAGGGAAGAGGACTTTAGGCATTCTTTCTTACTGTTTGAATATTTTATCACATACATGCATGACTTTTATAATTTTAAAACTATTTTAAATAATAGCTCATTGTATTTTTTTTAAAGCTCTATTATGGCAATAATCAAACAGCCAAGCCCTACACTTACACACTAGATCCTTCTCCTCTTTCCCACTCAAGGATAATTGAATTCAACAATTCTCCCCTCTCCGAGGCATATTTTTTCCTCCCTCTTGAATCAGTCCCAGTTATTTCTCCCATCTTACTCTTGATTCCAATTCCCCTTCCAGCTATCTACTCACTTTCCTGTTCCCTCCTGTCAGAAAATGTCTCAAAATTATTACTATCTTCTGACTCCAATTTCTCTCCTTCTATTCCCTCTTAAACCCACTCCAACTGGCTACTCCACTGAAACTGGGCATCAAAACAAGTAATTACTTCTACACTGAAAAATTCTATGCCTAATTCTCAGTCCTCTCTTACTTGACCCTCAGCACCATCTGACACAGTTCATCACTCTCTTATTCTTATTCTTTCTTCATTACACACTCTTGCTTTTTCCTCCTAACCCACTGGGTGGGTATTCTCAGTTTTGGGGTTTTTTTTTTTTTTTTTGCTAGTCCTTCCTTTTCATCCACACCTCTGCTCACAATGGAGTGCCCCAGACTCAGTCCTTGGTCCAACACTCTTAACCTATACTCACTTCCTTAAAATATCATCCATATGTTAATAACTCTCAAATATGTATCTTTAGCCGAGAATTTGCTCCTGACCTCCAAACTCATAGATCCAACTACCTATTTAGCAAACTTAACATATCTAAACCTAAACTTCTGAAACCTATTATCCCACACCCACCCCAAAACTATTCTGTCTGAACTCTTCTCCACCTTAGCTAATGATGACTGCCAGTTACATGGATCAAAAACCAACCTTAGGGCCGGCCCTTGGCTCACTTGGAGAGTGTGGTGCTGATAACACCAAGGCCATGGGTTCGGAACCCTGTATAGGGATGGCCGGTTGGCTCACTTGGGAGAGCATGGTGCTGACAACACCAAATCAAGGGTTAAGATCCCCTTATCGGTCATCTTTTAAAAAAACAAAACAAACAACCTTGATGTCACACTTAACTCCTCTCTTTCTTTCACACATCAACCTAACAAGAAATTCAGTTGGCTTTACTTTCAAAATATATCCAAAATCTGGCCGGCCCGGTGGCGCACTGCTACAGTGCGCTGCTTGGGAGCGCGGTGGCGCTCCCGCCGAGGGTTCGGATCCCACATACAGACCGGTTCCCGCTCACTGGCTGAGCAAGGTGTGGGAGCAACGCCGAGGGTTGCGATCCCGTTGCCGGTCCCGGTCCGGTACGGGCGCGACACTGAGGGTTGCGATCCGTTGCTGGACACGAAAAAAGACAAAAAGGAAAAAATATATATATATATATATCCAAAATCTAATCACTATTCACCATCTTCACTGCTACCATGTTTTTTGGTTTTTTTTTTTCCCTTTTTGTCTTTTTTCATGTCTGGCAGCGGATCGCAACCCTCAGTGTCGCGCCTGTACCGGACCGGGACCGGCAACGGTGTCGCAACCCTCTGCGTTGCACCCGCACCTCGCTCAGCCAGTGAGCGGGAACCGGTCTGTATGTGGGATCCGAACCCTCGGCGGGAGCGCTGCCGCACTCCCAAGCAGCACACTGTAGCAGTGCGCCACCGGGCCGGCCCACTGCTACCATGTTGATCTGAGCCACATGATCTTTCAATTACCACTATAGCCCTCTAACTGGTCTCCTAACTTCCACCCCTGCCTCCCAAGTCTATTCTCAACACCTCTACAGTAATCCTGTCAGATGTCACTGCTCTGCTCAAAACCTGTTATGAACTAAATGTCTGCATCTCCCCAAAATTCATATGTTGAAGCCCCACCACCCAATATGACTATTTGGAGATAAGGCCCTTATGGAAGTAATTAGGGTTAAATGAGGTCATAAGGGTGGGGACTTAATCCAATAGAACTAGTTAGTTTCCTTATAAGAAGAGACACCAGACAGCACTCTGTCTTCCTCTCAATGTGAGGACACAACAAGAAGGTGGCCAGCCATCTGCAAGCCAAGAAGTGGGCCCTCACTAGAAACCAACCCTGAATGCACCTTGATCTGGGACTTCTAGCCTCCAGAACTGTGATAAAATTAATTTGTTGGGCTTTTTTTTGGGGTTTTTTTGCGGCTGGCTGGTAAGGGGATCTGACCCCTTGACTTTGGTGTTAGAAGGCTGTGCTCTTACCAATTGAGCTAACCAGCCAGCTGCTGTGGTATTTTGTTAGGGCACCCAGAGCAGACTAATACACCCTGCATGTCAATCAAGGTAAAATCTAAAACCCTTACAGTGATCTGTGAGCCCTTACATAATTTGCCCTGCCATGTCCCCAAATCCTCATTATATGTCTGACCTCATCTCCTACTATTCATCCCTTTAGCTTTATGACAAGATGCCGAAAGTGGTCATTGTTAATTTTCTGTCATTATAGACAGAAAAGTCCAAAAGTCAACTCAGACAGCAAGCTAGGAAGTGACATAATGCCCTGTAATGAGCCTACTCACTTCTATCTTCTCACCTCAGCACCAAATTTTGCCCAACTTATTCAAGGCATGGCAACAGGGTAGGTGTCTAATTAACAAAAGGGGCATCATGTAGCTCTTAGAATCAAATTCATTTTAAATGTGCACACTCACATACACACACATGTACAGGGGGTGGAGGGAAGAGAAGAGAATGTGAATTTAAAGACATGTTCAACTCCCATATGAACAGACAAATCTTAATAACATGGTATACTATTTGAGAGGATTCTGGCTAACTTAGGTAGAGCTGTATGACAGCGCACACGGGAAGCAATATATATTTTAAAACAAAGTAATAAGTTTTGGGAGTTGCTACTAAGTGTACTCGACTGCCCCCAATTTATCCCAACTCACTACTTAGCAACTTCTGTAAATGACAGTCAAATGACAGACTTTTATCGCCTATCTATTCTACTCCCTGATAGCTCTCATTATCTTGCTACCAAAAGAAGTGAAAAGCGATCCCCTTTGTCTACAGCAATTCCTATATCTACTTTTTTTTTTTTTTTTCCTTCCTTTTTGTCTTTTTTCGTGACCAGCAACGGATCGCAACCCTCAGTGTCACGCCCGTACTGGACCGGGACCAGCAACGGGATCGCAACCCTCGGTGTTGCGCCCGCACCTTGCTCAGCCAGTGAGCGGCCGGTCTGTATGTGGGATCCGAACCCTCGGCGGGAGCGCCACCACACTCCCAAGCGGCGCACTGTAGCAGTGCGCCACCGGGCCGGCCCCCTATATCTACTTCTTTACAAAGAAAAAAATGAGTTTGGCACCATGTGATAAGCAGGAATCCTTTATACTTCTAAGCAGTATAGGGAAGAGCCAAGGAATCAATAACAAAAAAATAGTTTTATATTTTCAATTATTATATAAGAAAAAAGGGAAAGAAAAACATCATAGAAGCCTGAAGGCTAAATGAAAATCAGGAACACAGAAGTGTGAGGCCACCTTTATTTTCTACATAGGAAAATAAAGTATTAAAGAACTTTCTAAGATGGCAGCAGGAAGCAAAGGAAGACCCATAGAGAGAAGTCATGTAAGGTTAAGGGGAAAGCATGCCCCCATGGTGATGCAAATATATTAATCCAGAAAAATAGGAATTCCTAAGGCCAGAAAGCAAACCAAATTTCCACTCCCAAAGCACTAAAATCAAGTTTTTATTTCCTCTATTGCCCCTGCTCAGCACTAAAATCTTATCTGCTCTCAAAGATTACGTAATTTTCTTTAGAAAGGTGAAGAATCATACCTTCAAAATAGCACAAGTGTACTAGGCACAGCAAAGGAGGCGGAGTCTGGATGCGTTAAGGACATAAAATAGAAAGTACAGGGCTGGCCAGTTAGCTCAGTTGGTTAGAGCACAGTGTTATAACACCAGGATTAAGGGTTCTGATCCCCATACCAACAAGCCACCAAAAAAAAAAAAAAAAAAGGAAAAGATACAACACCCACTAAAGTAGCATAAATTACATTTCCATGTGCCAGGCATGTGCTAATGATATAGAATAAACAAAAAAAATACACATACTCACAAAAGCTTCATTTATCAATTTACTCAACGAATACTATAGTTACTATACGCCAAACAGAGTGCTATATACCCTGTAGATGTAATGATAAATAAAACAGCCCTACTCTCAAGAATATATAGATGGCCTAAACCAAATCAAGCCCCTCAGCCAATATTTGTGTGTACACACACATACACAAATTATAACTTAATGCCACATTTGCATAAAAGACACCAAAAAAAACAAAAACAAACTCAGAATTTAAAAACTGAATCTCAGAATTTATAAATTGAATAAATTTAGCTTCATAGAAAAATTTAGCTATATTGTCGCATTTCTCTCATCTTGCTAAATACCAGAGATAGCTCAATTACAAATAACTAAGATTCTGAAATTCTCAAGTGCTTGAGATTCACTTGTGTAATTAACATCCCCCAATAATTTCAAATCCACTACTATAAGCTTATGACAATTTATGGTACCAACCAAAGCAACATATGGCTTCATTTCCCATGCCTGTAGGTTTGTATTATCTATTATAATAGGAGATACCTTCTTCTCAAATGCTTCTTTTGCTGGAAAACACAACAGAAAAGAACAAATCATTTTTAATAACAATATTAAATATTACCTTTATTTTTTAAAAAAATCTGATCTTGTTTTCATAATTTGAGAATCACATACATGCTAATTTTACTCACTACTAGACTTCTAAATATCAGTTTTGAGGACATGAAAAAATTAAAGTACAGGGAAATATTGAATAATAATTACTAAAGTTACATAATAATCAGAGAAAATATATCACACAAAAAGCAACATGGTATCCTGGATTAGATTCTGGAACAGAAAAGGTAAAAAAACTGAAATCCAAATAGAGTCTGAGTTTAATCCCTGTATTGGCCATCCACCAAAACGAAACGAAACGGTCAAATAGAGAACAAAGTTTGGAATTTAGTTAATAGTAACACACTGATGATTATTTCTTAGTTTTGACAAATGTACCATAGTTACATAAAATATTAACACGAGGGGGAAAGGAGTGAAGGGTACACAGAAGCTCTCCATAGTATCCTTGCAACTTTTCCACAAATCTAAAATTATTCTAAAATGAAGTTTAAAAACCAACAGAAAGTATAAATGGGCAAACACCCACCCACACACAAAAGATGTAGTGATTTCAAATAAAGAAAACATTATGATATACTGTTGTACAAGGTATTTTCTTATAAAACTACCTTTTTCCCCAAGGAATTAGACCATTCAGGAAATTAATGATATACTTCAACAAATAAGTCTTACAAGGAAGTTATGTGAAAGTTTTAAAAGTTCTGCCCAGTCTCTTACAATTCAGCAATGGAAAGACAAATAACCCAATTAAAAAATGGGCAAAGGGGCCAGTTGGCTCAGTTGGTTAGAGTGTGGTATTGTAACACCAAGGTGAAGGGTCTGAATTCCTGTACCAGCCAGCCACCAAAAAAAAAAAAAAAAAAAAATGGGTAAAGGATATGGACAGACACTTCTCCAAAGATACACGAATGGCCAATAAGCACACAACAAGATGTTCAACATCATTAGCCAGCCATCAGGGGAATGCAAATCAAAATCACAGTGAGATAAAACTTCACACCCATCAGAACAGCAGTAATTAAAAAGACAGATAATTTCACAAGTGTGGTGAGGATGTGGAGAAATTGACACAGCGATGAACTACTAGCGGAAACATAAAATGGCACAATTGCTTTGGAAAACAAACTTGGCAGTTCCTAAAAAGGTTAGACATAGACATGTATGCTTATAGCAGCATTGTTCATAACAGCCAAAAAGTGGGATCAACCCAAATGTCCATCAACTGATAGATTAATAAATGTGGTATAGCCATACAATGGAACACTATTCAGCCATGAAGTGAAATGAAGTATTGATACATGCTACCACATGAATGAACTTTGAACACATTATGCTAAGTCAAAGAAGCCAATCGCAATAGACCACCTATTTTATCATTCCATTTCTATGAAATGTCCAGAATAGGCAAACCTTAGAGAAAGCAGATAGGGGAGAAATAAGGAGTAACAGCTAGTGGATACAGAATTTTTCTGAGTGATAAAAATTGATCTAAAACTGATTGTGGCAGTGGTTGTACAATTCTGAATAGCAAATTCTAAAAACCATTAAATTACACAATTTAAATGAGTGAGTTGTATGGCACATACATTATATCTGAAAGTGGTTTAAAAAAGAGTCCTGCCTATTAACATATTATTGTTGTTGTGGTTGTTGCTGTTATAACAGCATGTTGAGCAAGTGCTAAGCATTTTTCATTTTCATTTAACCTTTACAACAATCCTGGGAGTTATACATTATTACCCCCCCCCCCTTTTCAGATGAAGACTGGGACTTGTAGAGTATACATAACATGCACAAGATCACAGAGCTATAACCAGCAAATTCAAGGCTGATCTTCACCACCACATCATACTGCCTCCTTTATTCTTAATTGTGTTGGTATTCTCATATTCCTGAGTTCTCACTTTAACTTCTAGTACAAGAAAGAATATATAAAAATTTAACAATTTTTGAAGATTGTCTGAAGATGGCAAATTCAAGAACCGCCTTCACAGTGCATTTATTATTTTAAAAAGGTTAAGTAAGATATTGTCTATGGCTTAAGAATTCTCCATATAAAATTTAAATTATGTAAATGAACATTTAATGATAAAACCATCTTCAATGAATAGATAGTTGTACTAATAAAGAAACTAAGGTTTTACCTATAATCTCCCTCCCTGCAGATTCAGTTTTAAGAAAGCCATTTTTACTCTCACACACTATTCTCCATAAAAATTAAACCAATCTAGGGAAGAACAATGGTTAATGATACAAATTCCATTTTAGGAAACAGGAACCAAAGCATACCAGACAACTGTAACTTCTTTGAGCCATTGAGACCAAAGTAGAAAGTTAGACTTACTTCCAACAAGATACCCATTGATTTAATAAAACTTAAATGTGCCATACAATGTTTTAAGCATCTTATAAAAATTAACTCTTTTAATCCTCATAACAACCCTATCAGACTACCTCTTTTACTTATCATGTACCATAAAAATTAATGTTAATTATAGTTATAATTTTATATATATTATATAGTTATATATAAAGTAATTATAAATTTTTAAAAATTATACATCTCTCAAAATATGAATACTAAGTGAATTTCTTCTTTATATTATGCTTAATATTACCCAGAATTAGATGTCTATTCTTACCACGATTCTGGTTCCATTCATGTGCTTCTCCTAAGTACTTTACATCAAACTGGTACTGTCCATTTATGTAAAAATAATCATCAGAACTAAGAATGACTCCATTTGGGTTATCCTCTTGCAAAGTCCTGTGAATGATAAGTGGAATGATTTTTATTAATTTTTTCTTCTAAATTCTCTCTCCTAATTTTACAAAGTCATAATCCAAATAAAAAAATCAACTACTACTATTTAAAAGAGTAAGAATATTGTAATTTTCAAACACTGATAATCCTCTAAGCAGAAGTTCAATTCCAAAAAACCAACCTAAGGCAGGTTTATTTTATTTTATGTAAACTATTATTCAGAAACTTTTTTTAATGTTATAAAGACCTTGTCCCTTAAGTATAAAGGTTCGATGATTAACAAATTTTTATTTAGCAAAAAAAACCTGTTAATTAAAAATGCCTCAGAACTCTGACACGGGCATCCCCCTCACATGATCATTTGATCCACACTGATACTTCACTCACTCTAAGTAGGTCATTTCAAGGCAGGCAGGTATTAAGATAGAACTAATATTCAAGGGGCTGGCCGGTTAGCTCAGCTGGTTAGAGAGTGGTGTTATAACACCAGGTCAAGGGTTTGGATGCCTGTGCCAGCCAGTAGCCAAAAAAAAAAGGGAACTAATATGCAAAAGTAGTCCAAAACTCTTTGCATGCTGCTATAAATTCATTGAGTACACCAAAAACATCCAAAAATATAATGGCAATATATTATTAATTTACTGGGTTTTTTTTTTTTGTCCTTTTTGAGACCGGCCGCACCGCGCTCACTGAGCGCTGTGAGCACACCGGTCATCCCTATATAGGATCCGAACCTGCGGCGGAAGTGCTGCTGCGCTCCCAGCGCTGCACTCTCCCGAGTGCGCCACGGGCTCGGCCCTTAATTTACTCTGTTAAATAAAATTATACAGGGCTGGCTGGTTAGCTCAGTTGGTTGCAGTGCAGTATTGATAACACCAAAGTCAAGTGTTTAGATCCCTATACCGGTCAGCCACCAAAAAAATAAATAAACTTAAGATAATTTTGTATGTGTGGGTTTTTTTCCTTGACATCTTTCTTTCCTGATTGTGGAACTTATCATCTACATATCTGCGGTACATACAAAAACTAAGCAAATAAAATCCACAGAAACATTACATTGCTCTCATTCTTGATCACTTGTAAAATATCATTTATCCTCTCCTCCTAAAATATGTATAAATATATCTAAAGCTAAAACCGTATCTTTGGAATTTAATTTTTATTAACATCTATTAAGTGCCACGTACTGTGTTAGGCATTAAGCACACAACGATGAGCAAAAAAGACCAAATTCTTGCACTGATAGATCCTATGTTCTAGACAATGCTTACTTGATCCCGATTCCTATGTTTATCCTCTTCTCTTTTATCTTTTAAACTTTCCCTTCTCTGATACTTCCTTTTTTCCTTTTAACATGTCTGTATCTCAGTTATGTGAAAAAACTGTAACTACACTTCAGGACCCCTTTCAATGATCACCCAATTCTCTCCTTCCCTTAACTACTCCATTCCTCACATAGCTATAAATATTCACTAAGACGAGATATACCCAGGATCGAATAGAAAAGACCCAGCTAAGAACAGAAGAGGACAAACAGTTAAAAGGAAGGAAAAAAAAACTAGCAAATAAAATATATTACGTAAAAAAATCTTCTGGAATTTAAAGGCTAAGGGACTACGAAGACAATACTCTAAGGAATGCCACTGTAAACATAACAAAGCTGACTCTAACCCTGACTCCAGTCTCCCAGAGCCAAGCATCCGCAACCTACCTTAACTACAAAAAGGACATAGATGGATATGTGAGATCAAATAATTGAGGATATTATATTTTGTGACTAATAAATCACTGAAAATTTGAAGTTATCTGACTACTAGTATTCATCCCTCTCTTCTCTCAAATCACACATCTCTTTTTTTTTTTTTTTTTGTCTTTTGTCTTTTTCCGTGTCCGGCAACAGATCGCAACCCTCAGTGTTGCCCCCGTACCGGACCGGGGACCGGCAACGGGATCGCAACCCTCGGTGTTGCTCCCACGCCTCGCTCAGCCAGTGAGCAGGAACCGGTCTGTATGTGGGATCCGAACCCTCGGGCGGGAGCGCCGCCGCGCTTCCCAAGCGGCGCACTTATCCAGTGCGCCACCGGGCCGGCCCTCAAATCACACATCTCTAAAAGCATTATTTAACAACATACTATAATCTCAAATTTCCAACTACCAATAGAATTCATGTATTTGAGACTTCCATTCCGTGAATTCAAAATCAAATATGGCTATTTAACTCTACCAAAGTTGAACTCATCTGGCTCCCACTCAAATTAGCTCTCTTCCACATAAAGCTATTTCTGCTGATTTCAATAGCTCACAATCTTGGAATCATCTTTCTTTCCTCTATTTGTCTCAAAAAGATATTCTGAAATGAAAGAATTCAATAAAAACTTCTGGAGAAAACAGTGCTATTAGCTACAAACTTAGAAAAATTTAATAGTAAGAAAACATTTTCGGGGTCACTAAACATCTCCATTAAGCAAAGCATTTTGCATATTTGCAACTATCTATCTGTTCACATTCATGCATTATACTTTTTAAAAACTCAATTAAACATCGTACCTCGCCAAAAAAGATTTTCCTGATCCAGGAAGCCCTCTGAGAAGAACAAGAACTAGTCCAATGTAAGATGTCTTCTTTCTTACAACCTGAGAAACTGGAGTTTCTTGTACTTGATAAGCACTTGTTCCCTCCTGATTTCTCCATACCTTTGTTGGGGAAGTGTGAGAAATAACTGAGGGTGGAAATGTATAGTTGACAGGTCTCCAGTGTGCAGCTGTGGTTACAATGGGAGCTACAAAGCCATGGTTTCCTTGAAAGAGGTCAAAAGCAGAAATCATTGGATTCCACAGTGGCGGAGGTGGAGGAGGAGGCAGCAGTAAAGGGAGAGGGGTAAGTACTGGGCAGTAATTCACATCCTTCACCTTTGGTGGCAGTTCAGGATGTTTGTGCGGCTTGAAATTAAATCCTTCGGAAGGTACAAACACATCAGAGACGGATGCAGATTTCTGATCTCCACCTGTATCTGGTAAATCAAGCTCTGGAAGGTTTAAAAGAGCCTGAGGTTCGCTGGCACCCAAATCTGCAGGAGCTTGAGAGAACTGTGCCTCAACACATTCAGATTCTAAAAGTTCTTTCTGATCTTGATTAAAATTGCTACAACCCACAACAGAGTCACCTGCTAGATTTAAAGAACTACTGAGAAGAGAATCTTCTGGGTAGTTACCTTCCAATGTCAATGTGTTATCCTTTATAAAATGTTTGGATTCATTCACAACTGAATGTGAAGGTAATGGGTTTGAACTTAATGTAGACGCAGAATTCTCTAAATTTTCATTGTTCAAATCCACATTTTGTGTAGAAAGAATGGGAGTCATACTACCTGAATCTGAATTTATAAACTCACTCGGGTCATTAAAACTATTAACATCTTGCAAAGGCAAAAATGAAAACACTTGGTCATCAGGAGAAGAATTCAATTTCTCAAAAGCATTCTGTATTAAGGAATCCAAGTCTTCAGTTAGCTGCATGTCCAAAAACGAATCCATTTTTGAATCTTCACTCTCTTCTTCAGGAGGATGCTTTTCCATTATTTCACTCCCTGCTGCACTTACTTGGGTCTCAGAAGCAGCAGAGCTTTGTGAAGACGATTCTTCTATCTTGGCATCAGTGGCAGATAACTCTAATAGACAATCCATGGCGTTGTCAACTGTACAACGACAACAAGAATAACAGCAACAACAATATACATATACTGAAAAAAGTTAAGATACAATTTTCTTAAAATCCAGATTTTACATGGAAGGGAGTATAGAGAAAGTTATAATATTCAAGTCATTTTTTTAATTAATATTTTACTAACATACCAAAGTCTGTATTCATGAAAAGTTTGAATGATAAGAGACGTGCAATATTGTTCTTCAAGACAAATGATAATAAAGTAGGCTAATAAACTATAAAGTAAATATTTTTGGATGAATTTATTGAGTAAACGTATGAATATCTGTAATTCTATGTGTTAGGGTTATTTATAAAAGTCTAAAGCCAGCTGATTTATTCAACAAATACTTACCTACCGCATGTCCTTTTAAGTATTTTATGTATTCTCCTAGTAAATCTAATTGATTTATATGGTCCATGTCATGAATTCCACTTAATACAAAAAATATTTATGAGCATGTACTATGTATAGAACATACTTTGTACAAAGATGAATAAGACATAATCTTTACTACACTCAAAGGATTTTGCAGTCTAATGGAGAAAATTAAATATAACTACATTAGAAGAAAATAACGTTATAATATAATACAGATTAAATAATGCACATTTTTGATAACATAAATGCCATAGCAGTGTATAGGAGAATAAGGAAAGATTTCACATAAAGTGATCTGTGAACTGGGACTTGAAGATTAAAAAGCAACTTGCCAGACACAAGAGGTTTAAAAGGTAAAACCAGGCTTGAAAATGCAATGCATGTTTAAGTGTTAAGAGAAGTTGGTTGGAGTATGGTCACACAGTGCAATATATGGTGAATAAGAGGAGATCAAACTAGACAGGGAGATTGGGTGAAATTGGGGAGGGTCCTGTATGTCATACTAAAAAACATTAATTTTATTTTCTAGGGGAACTTGAAGGAAAATTACCAGTCATATCATTTGGGCTAGAAGCTTTATTATACACATCACCTCACTGAATCCTCAAATAATATTATGAGGTATATTATTCCTAGCAAACAGATGAAGAAAATGAAGTTCAAAAAGTACTTTAATTTGGCCCAAGTCACACAGATAGACAGAGCTAGGACTGGTGTGTCTGCCTCCAATGCTGAGCTCTTTCTGTTACAACACAAATAGGGAGCCATTAGAATTTTTAGGCATTTAAAATGTGAGGTTTTTCGTTTTTTTGGTTTTTGCTTATTTTATGTTTGTGCTTTATCTTGTTTTGTTTTAAGGAAGATAAATCTGGAAACAGCACAGCACAGTAGGTAAAAGCTCTGGTCTAGAGTCAGAACACCAGCATTTAAATCCCTACTTGCTGGCTATGACACTTTGAACAAGTGAGTTAACTTCCTCTAAGCCTTAACTTTCTTATTTGCAATATGGGGATAATAAAAGTACCTACCTCATAGGTTGCTGTGAGGATTAAATGAGAAAATCCATGAAAAAGTGCTGTGCACAAGGACTGGCACCTAGCAAGCACCCAATTAATGTTCCCTTAAGAAGAAAAAAAAAGAGGGATTGGAGGGGCAAGCCTAGCAGAGACCAAGTAGGAGATCATAGCAATACTACAAAGGCTAGAAGCTCTAAAAAGGGAAAAAAGGAAAAAAAGCAAACATAGGAAGTATTTCAATGAAAAAATGTACATGATCGAAAAAACAGAAGATCAGCTAAAAAAATTAACATGGATATAATGAAAAACAGCAGTAAGTAAAAATAAGTAAAAGATCAAGAAAGACAGGTTATGATAAAAAAAGAAAAGTCCTTACACAGATGGTTAGTAAAAATTAAAACCAATGTATGAAAGCAATGAAAAAAAACATGAATGAACGGTCTACACAAGAATAAAAGAATTAATGAACATCATGTACAAAAATGTTCAACAATCCTCTTTATTAAAAAAACACAAATTAAAAGGTGAATTTTATTCCTATTAAAATCTTAAAATAATACTACGCAATGCTAAAAAGGCTGTGGTAAAGCCACTGATAGGTGGTATTACAAATCAGCACCTGTTATTTGTTGATAAGCAAATCAGCAGTATGTTTCCAAGAGCTGAAAACTGCTCTTATCCTGTGACACAAGAAAATAAAACTCTGAAACTAAGAAAAAAAGCCAAAAAAGGAAAAAGTTATTTTTACCAAAATGTTCTCTGCAATTATTCATGAAAAATGGATATAACTAACAAGTCGGTGGAGTATTAGAAAACTATTAAAAACAAACATAAAGACTGCAGCAATACTTAAAAAATGCTTATGTTAAAAAAGCAGAATACAAAATTTCATCAAGGCTATTATTCAAACTATCAAGTGTTCATGAACAAGGTCTATAGAAGACCCTGGAAAATAAGTTTTTTGTTAGGATATATGGTAATATAGTTTTCTTGTAATCCCCCATTGTTACGTTTGTGTATATGCAACAAATACATTTTAAAGACATCAAAATTAGGAAATAAATTTAAAAATCACTTACAAAGCTTTACATACTATCATTTCTGTGCATCATGTGCTGCTGTAACCTGGTTTTCTGCATTCACACCATAACAGGAAAAAAAAGATATGCTCACATCATAGACCACACAATGACTAAACGTGGAAGTTTATCAAGTATTATTAAAACTTCCTAAATCTAGAATTTTATCTTTTATTAATCATGACCAATAACAATACTGACATCAACATTTAATTTACCCTAAGTGAACCTATATAGATTCTGATCTGTCTGCAAGCATACTTCATACTTCTAAACAATTTAGTACAAGTTATTAATAACCTACTTACTATACTAGGGGCTGGCCAATTAGCACAGCTGGTTAGAGCACAGCCTTATAATACCAAGGTCACAGGTCTGGATCCCCATACCGGCCAGCTGACTGACAAACAAACAAACAAACAAAAAACCTACTATACTGAAGACTTTACCAAAAACAAAACAAAAAACTCAATCCTCACCAAAAAAGTCCTATAAGGTACATACTATTATTTTTCTCATTAAAAGATTGGAAAACTGAGATTCAAAGAGGTTAATGGCAGAGCTGGAAATACAACCCAGGTTTCTTGACTCTGCATCCAATGTTTTGAAATCACACTACTCTACCAGCCTCAACTCTTAATCAGCTCTTATTTACATAATTACAATGACCTATTCACTCTTTCATTTACTAAGCTCCTACATGGGTCATTTGCTATTTTATTAACTAGAAATACAGCAGTAAAACAGAACAGTTTTTAAAATTTCTGTCTTTATGGAGCTTACATTCTAGGACAGTGATTCTCACCCAGGTACAATTTTGACTCATAAGGAGCAAATGACAATATATGGAGACATTTTTGATTGTCGAAAGTGGGGGGTAGGGCGCTACTGGCATCTAGTAGGTAAGACCAGGGATGCTGCTAAACATCCTACAATGCACAGAAGAGCCACTCACAAGAAAGAACTGTCCAGTCCCAAATGTCAATAGTGCCAACCTGTTCTAGAAGAAAGATAAAAAGAAATAAAACCTAGAATGTAATATGTATACATACATCTTACAACTAGAAATATACATTTCTTAAGAGCAGAAACCATGCCTTATTCTTCTTCATATTCCTCAAATACCAAACTTATTACCTTGCCCACAGCAGATGCTTAATAAATAATGAACAAAATAGAAATAAGACAGTCATACTTCTATATTACTACTGGTCATGGCATAGTACATGAATTCTTCTTATAAGATGCAATGGGTTTGAACTAAACTTTTTCTCACCTTTGAAATCACATTCAGAAAGCATCAAATATACTACATCAGGATCCAGATCAGAAAACATCTCTGAGATACTGGTGAAGAGTTCTTCCTGATTAACTTTTGTCTCACACATGGAAGGAAGAGTAGTGGTTGGCTCCTCATGACTAGTAACACTGGATACAACTTCCTTAGAGTTTGCAGTCTTCCGAAAAGGATTTCCCCCAAGATTTTTCCTTCTCCTTGGCATTCTGACTTCCAAAACTAAAATATTTCCCTTTTCTTATTTAAGATGTGTGATATTTAAGTCATAATTCAAAGAAAACAAGGTTAAAAATCTTGCACAATCCAGCAGAAATAGGACCTAAAATAGAAAGCAAGTTAAAACACTCAGACTATATAGTTATATTTTCATTTCTAAAATTGGAATGGTATCTTTATTTCATTCGAAGGCAGTACTATCAACTCCGGCAGCGAAGTCAAAAAACAGTCAATTTCTCTCTCTCCAAAATATTCAGGTTTTGCCAGAACTGAACATGTTAAAATTAAGATCTTAAGAATATGTAACGTATTTCAGAACAGTAAGTACACTGTTTTAATATCATTATTTCATTTTTTAAAAACATAAAACAGAATTCATAAATATAATTGGAATGCCTACTGAACACCTACACTCGGATATCTAAGGATATCTAACGGGTAGTATAAACTTAACATGTCTAAAACTGAGCTCCTGATCACCCCTTCAGAACTGCTCTTCGCAGTCTTTTCATTCTTAGTTAAAGCAATTCTATCATTCCAATTGCTCAAGTCAAAAATCTTGGAATAATCCTTGACTCCTCTAATGCCACATCCAACTAGTAAGCCAATTTTGTCAGTGCAACTTCCAAAATGTATCTAGAATATAATCATTCCTCACCATCTCCACTGCTGTCACCCTGGACTTAGCTACAACCAAGCTACCACCACCACTCTTGCCTGGATTACTGTAACAGTCTCCTAACCTATCTCCTGCTTCCACCCTTGCCCCTTCAGTCTATTTAGCACAGCAGCCAGAGTGACTCAATTTAACCGTAGGCTGGATCATGCCTCTCTTCTGCTAAACTATCTGCTAGCTTCCCATCTCAACAGGATAAAGGCCAAAGCCCTTAAAATGGCCCATAACCAGATGCTTGTTTCCTCTGTACTGTCATCCCCTAATCCTCTTTCCCTTGCTCATGCCACTCCAGCCACACTTAGCCTTCTCGCTTTTCTTCAAACACACTAGCCATGCTCTCACCTGGAAACCTTTACACCCTTGTTCCTCTATCTGAACTACTATTCTCCTAGGTATCTATAAGATTTATTTCCTCACCACCTTCTTATCATTACTCAAATGTTACCTTCTCAGAAACTCAGTCCCCCAATGCCATTTTAGGACTTAACATCTTCTAACACAGTAAGTTTTATTTATTGATTGTATTTGCTACCCATATTCCAGTAAAGTATAAGCTCCACCAAGGGCAGGGACTCATCTATCCAGAGTAGAACTATAGACAGTCTACTTGTTTTCTCTACTTGGACATGTCTAACAATCATTGCAAACTTAATATACCCAAAACTAAATATCTGATACTTTCCCCAAATCTGCACTAACCATTTGGTATAACTACCATCATCTTTCACCTGTATTCCTGTCTCCTAACTGGTCTTCCTGCTTGCACCTTTGTCCCCGGGAGTTTATCTTTAACAAACCAGGCAGAATGATATTTATACAGCCAAAGCTAGATTCAGTTAGGGTCTGCTCTAAACCCTCAAGTGGTTCTCACCATCACTAAGAGTAAAAGCTAAAATTCTTACAATGGCCTACCTCCCTACTGACCCCTAATATATTTGCATGGCTAACTCCCTCAGTTCTTCAAAACTTTGCTCAAGATTTCAAATCTAGAGTTTGTCACATTCAGTGATTTCTTCTCTTAACTATCCAATTGAAAATCATATACCCCACTCCCTCTGCCCCAATCTCCCCTTTCCTGCTAACCCCCATTGCCCTTATCACCTCCTAATATAATATATAATTTACCTTTTAATTAAATTTGTGTCACAGCTCTCTCCACCTTCAAGAACTACACTTTCAAAATGGCAGCCACCAGCCATGTGCCTATTTAAATTTAAATTATTTAAAATTAAATAAACTTACATGTTTATATGTTAATATCAGAGATAATGGGGCCGGCCCGGTGGCGCACTGCTACAGTGCGCTGCTTGGGAGCGCGGTGGCGCTCCCGCTGAGGGTTCGGATCCCACATACAGACCGGTTCCCGCTCACTGGCTGAGCTAGGTGTGGGAGCAACACCAAGGGTTGCGATCCCGTTGCCGGTCCTGGTCCGGTACGGGCGCAACACTGAGGGTTGCGATCCATTGCCGGACACGAAAAAAGACAAAAAGGAAAAAAAAAAAAAACAAAGCAAAGAAAAAATTATCAGAGACAAATAAGATTATATAATAATAAAGGATCAATCCACCAAGACATAGCAACCCTAAATGTGTATACACCAAACAACAGAGCTATAAAATAGGTGAAACAAAAACTGATAGAATTGAAAGAAAAAATAGAAAAATTCACAATTATAGCTGGAAACTTCAAAATTGCTCTATCAAAAAGTGACAGAACAAATAGACAAAAAATCAGCAAAGATATAGAACTCAAACACCAGCTATTAAGAATCTAATCAAGGGCCGGCCCGGTGGCGCACTGGAGAGTATGCCGCTTGGGAGTGCGGCGGCACTCCCGCCGAGGGTTCGGATCCCATGTGGAGACCGGTTCCCGCTCACTGGCTAAGCGCGGTGCGGGCGCAACACCGAGGGTTGCGATCCCACTGCCGGTCCCCGGTACAGGCGCGACACCAAGGGTTGCGATCCCGTTACTGGTCAGTAAAAAAGACAAAAAAAAAAAAGAATCTAATCAATATTTACAACACAATCCACCCAACAACAGCAGAATACATTCTTTCCAAGTGCCCACAGAACATATACCAAGATAGACCAAATGCTAGGTTACAAAACAAACATCAACAAAATTAAAAGAACTGAAATCATACAGAGTATATTCTCCAGCTACAACAGAATCAAACTGTAAATCAATAACAAAGATAACAAGAAAATCTCCAAACACTTGGAACTTCAACAATATACTTCTAAATAATGCATGGGTCAAAGACAAAGTCTCAAGAAAAATTTTAAAAATATATTGAACTGACTTAAAATGAAAATAACACCATGTCAAAATTTGCAAGTCACAGCTAAAGCTGTGATGATAGGGAAAGTTATAGCATGATATGCATACATTAGAAAAGAGGAAAAGTCTCAAATCAATCTAAATCCCCACCACAAGAATAAAGGGGAAAAAAGAGTAAAACAAACCCAAAGCCAGCAGAAGGAAGGAAATAATAAAGATAAGAGCAGATATCAATGTAATTGAAAACAGAAAAACAGAAAATCCAGAAAACAAACTGCTGGTTCACTGAGAAGATCCATAAAATTGACAAACCGCTCTACTGACAAAGAAAATAGAAGTCAGAAATTATCAATAACAGAATAACAAAAGGATATCACTACAGACCCCGCAGATACATAATAAAGGAAATTATGAACAACTATACACACAAAAGTTTGACAACTTATATAAAATGGATCAATTTTTCAAAAATCCAATAGAAAAGATAAAAGCCCTATAATTTTCAATGAACTTTAATTCACAAGTTTAAAACTCCCAGAAAAGAAATTTCCAGGACCAAAGGGCTTCAATGGAAAAGTTCAACAGATATTTTTTAAGAAAAATTCACACTAATCCTAAACAATCCCTTCCAGAAAATAAGAGAATACTTCCCATTTATTTTATGAAGATAGTGTTATCTTTATACCAAAACCAGACAAAGCCAGCGGGAAAAAAAGAAAACTACAGACCAATATTGGTCATGAATACAGACACAAAAATCCTTAACAAAATACTAACAAATATAACATTATTTAGATGTCAAAATTATAGAAATGCAGAACAGATTAGTGGTGAGTGTGGATATAAAAGGGCACCCTGGGCCGGCCCGGTGGCGCAATGGATAGTGCACCGCTTGGGAAGCGCGGGGGCGCTCCCGCCCGAGGGTTCGGATCCCACGTACAGAACGGTTCCCGCTCACTGGCTGAGCGAGGCGCGGGAGCAACACCGAGG